TAGAAGATGATCTTTGCAGTACTGATTCCAGCAAAAAACAAGACATTGATATCACTAGGAAACATGTTTCTATACAGATCCTTGTATATGGTTTTTAAGGAAACCTAGAAGCATTTCCACCTCATCAGGTTCAAGTGGAGTAACTTTATTCCTTCCAACCCATACTAGATTCCATTTTCAGCACTCATCAAGAACATACTTCTGGACACTCGAAGGTGGCTCATTGTCATAAGCTTCAAAAGCCTTACAGATCCTTTCTGTCAATTTGGCACTTCATGTACATGTTTATAAACAGTTCAACTTTGTTCTAGGATTCCAAGAAAGCCATCATTTCTTTGTCAATGGAAAAGCATCAGCACATGGATGAAGCATAATAAGAGAAACTTTGTTTTTAATTAGCAGAATTATATAGCCCTTTTCAGTGTAATAGCATGGAAATGCTTCAAATCTACAAATTCTGGCTTTACATCGAATAAGTACTGTGATATCCCAGTCCAAACATTAAATAGAACAAATGAATTTACCAATAGCATCTTCTGGAAGCGTTCTTTGAGTTATCTGATCTGGTTTGACAAAACCAATCATTGAATTTGGAAGATGAATGTGTTCATAGCATCTTCTGGAAGTGTTCTTTGAGTTATTTGATCTGATTTGACAAAACAATCATTGAGTTTAGAAGATGAATGTGCCAATAGCATCTTCTGGAAGTGTTCTTTGAGTTATCTGATCTGGTTTGACAAAACCAATCATTGAATTTGGAAGATGAATGTGCCAATAGCATCTTCTGGAAGTGTTCTTTGAGTTATCTGATCTGGTTTGACAAAACCAATCATTGAATTTGGAAGATGAATGTGTTCATAGCATCTTCTGGAAGTGTTCTTTGAGTTATTTGATCTGATTTGACAAAACTATCATTGAGTTTAAAAGATGAATGTGTTCATAGCATCTTCTGGAAGTGTTCTTTGAGTTATCTGATCTGATTCAGTAGGAACCCCAGAACCAATCGTTGGAATTGAAAGATGAACTACATGATTATCTTCATTAAGAAGCTCCTTTTCAAGCTTCATCTGCTTCCTTTTCAAAAAAAACATAGCCCAAGTTTCGCCTTTGCTTATAATTAGGATCATTGCATAATGACTTCCTATTTTTTACCAGAAGAAGTGCATCAGCAGCCTTAGTCATTTGAGAAGCACATATAAAATTTGCCAATTCTGCAATTGATGAATCTGGACCACATTTCTTCAGGGCTATTGAAGTTTCAGCCCATGAGAATCTCATTTTTGTCAAGTATAACAGTTTATTCTCCTCAGAATTCAAGATTTCTCGGTATTAGAAGAACTATCGATATCTGTGAAATCATCTTGAAAGGTCACTTCATAATCAGATAAGTTGTTATCAGAATCAACATGTTGCCAGAATGCAAGCTTTTCAAGAGCCTATACTATTGAGTTTTATTCTCAAGAGGTTTTGTGACATTATATCTACATCTACATTTGTCAAAGATGATAGATTCTTTGATTTGAAGAAGACAGATATATTGGGTTTTTACAATTGAAGAAATACTCAATTCACCAGTCTAAAATCAAACAACTTAATATTCATGCATCATATTTAGGCATTTGCAAAAATAGATGCATTTTCATTCATTTTTGTTGAATTTCTAACAGGAATTTCAAAAATTTTAGCAAAGATTCAAATTTATCATTTGAAGGATCAGCTTTTCCAGTTCGAGTTCATAATGAGAAGAACTCATCTGAAGAAGGAAGAAGAAGTTCATAATGAGAAGAATTTGTTCAACCTTTTACCTGAATTCATCACTTGATGGATCATCTTTTCCAGAGAAAGTTCATAATTAGAAGAACTCATCTGAAGAAGGAAGAAGAAGTTCATAATGAGAAGAATTTGTTCAACCTTTTACCTGAATTCATCACTTGATGGATCATTTTTTCCAGAGAAAGTTCATAATGAGAAGAACTCATCTGAAGAAGGAAGAAGAAGTTCATAATGAGAAGAATTTGTTCAACCTTTTACCTGAATTCATCACTTGATGGATCATTTTTTCCAGAAAAAGTTCATAATGAGAAGAACTCATCTGAAGAAGGAAGAAGAAGTTCATAATGAGAAGAATTTGTTCAACCTTTTACCTGAATTCATCATTTGATGGATCAACATTGCCAGAAAAAGTTCATAATGAGAAGAACTCATCTGAAGAAGGAAGAAGAAGTTCATAATGAGAAGAATTTGTTCAACCTTTTACCTGAATCCATCAATTGATGGATTATCTTTTCCGGAGAAGTTCATAATGAGAAGAACTCATCTGAAGAAGAAAGAAGAAGTTCATAATAAGAAGAACTTGTTCAACTTTTGGCATAATTCTATCACAGAAGGAGATAGATTAACATCAGCCTTTCTAGAGAAAGTTCATAATGAGAAGAACTCATCAAGAGCTTATTCAACCTTTTGAATGACTCTATCACAGAAAAGAGGTTATCATTATCCCCAGCAGAAAGTTCATAATAAGAAGAACTTATTTGGAGAGAGAGAAGAATTTATTCAATATCTCCATTATGATCAAAGTAAAGTCAAATGGATAAAAAATTTTATTATCTTTTCATCTTTGCCCTATTCTTGTTAACACAAGAATGAGCAAAGAGGGGCAGCTGAAGATACTAATTTTTTATCCATATTATTATTATTATTATTATTATTATTATTATTATTATTACTATTATCATTATTATTATTATTATTATTATTATTATTATTATTATTATTATTATTACTATTATTATTAAATATATTAAATACATATAAATATTATTAAAAATAAATAAATAATAAAAAATATAATTACAGGCCCAATTACAATTGGACCGGCCCAGTTACAAACCAACCAGAGCCGGTCCAAATCCAACCAGAAACCCTAAATATTTGGGTTTCCAGTTAGGGTTTCCTAACCCTAATCTAGCCAGCCGCCATCTTCAATCTCAACCGTTGGATCTGGTTTGATCCAACAGTCCACCATTTGCCAGAGGAAACCCTAGGGTATCTATACCCTAGGGACACGTCCCAGCGCCGCCGCTGCTGCTTCCAGAAGCCCTCACCGCCTCCGCCGCTGCCACGTCCCAACCGAAGACTCCAGAAGGTAAAATAGCAGCCGTCCACGCCATGGCTACTCGGTGAGTCACCACTGGTAGTCCGGTGACTCACCGAGACCCCCTCTACGGACCGATCCGACGGCCACAACGGTGGTGGCTATAAAAGCCACCACCCGAACCTGAAAAAAAGAAAAAAAGGAAAAAAGAGGAGAGAAAAGAAAAAAGAGAGACAGAACCGGAGAAAAAAAAAAACAGAGAAATAGAAAAAATACTAACCAACGATCTCAGCCAAAAATCCCATAAACAGAAACAAAAAAAGAAGGAAAAAGGAAGAAGAGAACTTACCGAGGAAGCCCCGACTACCAGATCTCACCGGAATCTTCGAAACAACGAAGGTACTTTTGTAGATTCGCTCCGATTGGGAGCCTTTTAGGAAGAAATAACACCGGAACCGTCCTTAGGACGGTCCGATCTATATATTAGTGTAAAAATCTTTTTTTCCGGCCACCGGATGCGGTGGCCGGCGGTGATGGTCACGGCGGCAGACGGTTGCCGTCCGGTGACCGGCTTCCCTCCGATGAGGGAAGCTAGAGAGAGGGCAGAGAGAAATTTGTTCTCTCTCAGTTAGAGAGGGAACAGAAATGATAAAATGAAGCTGGCCCTTCGGGCCAGCCGGTTTTTGGACATATATAGTCCTTCCCGAACGACGTCGTTTCGGGAAGGACTATGCGCGTAATTACAAAATAGTTAAATCCCGTCCGTAGTCCTCCCAACTTGTAAATTTTATATTTTGGTCACTAAACTGAATTTATAATAATTTTAATTCAGTCTTTGAATTTTAATTTTGTTCATTTTAGTCCTTTTTATTAAAATAATATATTTAGGATAAATGACAAATTTAATCCCTTAATTTTAATAAATAATTTTTTAATCCCTAGTTCATATTTTTAATTTAATTTATTATAAAATTCGAATTTTAGATAATTTTATTTTGGTCACTAAATTATTAAATTAGAAAATAAAATATTTAATCCCTATAATTTCAATTAATTAGGAATTAGATTTAGTTTTATTTTAATTATAATTTAGTTATTTATTTTATATGTCTTCATTTATTTTATTGTTTTTAAATATATTGTTTTAGTAGTATTTTTATTTTATTATATTGTTAAATATTTTTATATTCATAAATATATAATAAATAGTAATTTTTAAATATTTATTTTTAATATCGAAGAAAAGGACAGTCTTAATACAACTAGATGTCCTATTCTGATATTTTAAAATTAAAAAGTAAATAATATTATTTAAATTAATATTTATCAATATCAAAGAAAAGAGCTGTCTTAAGGCACCTAGAAGTTCTTTTCTGATATTTTTAAATAAATAAATAAATTTTTTATATAATTTTGAAATAAAAGAATTATAAATTAAATATATTTTTGAATTTTTTTAATAGAGACAATTTATAATTAAAAAGTACCAATTTTGGGCGTTGTAGGGGTGCTAATCCTTCCCTAAACGTAACCGACCACGAATCCCTTTTTATTATTAAAAAGAATGAATTTTTGGTTATAAACGCATATCAGTTTATTTTTTTATTAGTGTTTTATTAAAACTCTTTTAAAAAAATAATAATAATTTTTAGGTATTCGACCTACCTGACCCAAAAGGCCGATGGCGACTCCCAAATTATTTTCAAAATCATTTATTCACATCACTTTTCCCGTCAAGTTAAATTTTTCGTGCCCGGACGAAAACCGGTTACGACAGGAGGTGTCATCGAAGCAACTCTGTGTAATTCGGGATCGTATATATACTTTATTTTATTTATTAGAAAATAGAAAAATGAAAAAAAAATGTTTGAAAATGCAAAGACCATAAAAGAGCAAGGAAGAGTGATAATAGTGGCAAACTGGTAATAACAGTGAAAAGGAAGTAAAAGAAACTGAAGATGGAGGGCTTGAAGGTATGGAGGCTATCCTCATCCATTGCAAGGCCTTCGAATTTGAGGCAACTGTTTGGATTGGGCGCTTCCCCTTCTCTATTCCTCCGCCGCTTAAATACCGGCGTCGCCGCCAACGCCATCACCAACACTCGCAACCGCCGCTCTTCCACCTCAACGCCCACTTCCACTTCAGACCGTGAAGCCGTACGTGCCATCCGCCTCAAGAAAGTGGAGCAACTGCGGAGCAAAGGTTTGGAGCCGTACGGATATAAGTGGGATAGAAGTCATAGTGCTAGGGAGCTTCAAGAGGTATACAGGGATCTTAGCAATGGCGAGGAGTTGGATGGCGCAAATCACCATGTTTCCATTGCAGGCCGAATTGTGGCTCGTAGAGCATTTGGGAAACTTGCTTTCCTCACTTTAAGAGATGATTCCGGCACTATTCAAGTTTTTTTTTACTTCTCCTTTTCATTTATAATTTGTATTGTTTCTGCTATAATTTGATTAAAATTTTAGATTGTTGTATCTCTATGAAATGATTGTAGCTATACTGTGAGAAGGAAAGGCTTTTGGATGATCAATTTGAGCAGTTGAAGACACTTGTTGATATTGGTGATATATTGGGTGCTTCTGGCTCTATAAAGCGAACTGAGAAAGGTGAACTTCATTTTACCGAGGATTTACTCTAATTGTTGCTTCTATTTTATTCTTTATCAGTGTATGCTGTCAAAGTCAAAGCAACTTCCCTTGATTTATTGCGTTTTTTTTTCTGCTTCACTGTTTCAGGGGAGCTTTCTGTTAAGGTGGATTCTTTTTCAATACTTACGAAATCACTACTTCCGCTGCCGGACAAGTTTCATGGTTTAACCGACATTGATAAGCGCTACCGTCAAAGGTGATTTGCTATCTGCAACTTTTGTTTTATCTGTTTTTGTGAATCATCTAGTAATTCACTTATTCAAACATATATTTCCTTCAAATCCCATCCTACCGAGCTCCTCAATGAATTTTGCTGGATATTTCATTCTTTTTTTTCTTTTATGCTTTTTCCCTTGAAGGGAAAAAAGGGGAAGATATAAGATATTCTTAAATGCCACTTGTCTTTATTTAGAACAATTATCATTTTTTTCTTTTTTACCATTGCATTATGAATATCCTTAATTCTTTTACCAATAACAATCACATCAAAGAAGAGAAATGCTTATTACTATGCATATAACACATTGCAAACTGTTTGTGCTTATATGTCCTTTTCTTGGTGTTTCTTTTGATATTGGTGGATCGTTTCCCCCCTTTGATCATATTTCCCACCTCCGATCATGTTTAGGTATGTTGATATGATTGCAAATCCTGAAGTAGCTGATATATTCCGTAAACGAGCAATGGTGACGTATTCCCACTTTTTGGAGTGAAGCTGAATTATCTTTTGTTTTTTCTTGCTAGCAGGCTGTTCTTATAACACTTCAATCACTTGGTTACTTTGTCTTCAGATTCACTTTTACACTCTAATCACCATATGGTTGCTCAACCCAAGAGAAAAATTGCTTGTTCTTCTAGGGCATAGAGTATTTCATCTTCGATAAAGCTACATATCAGTTGGTTTTTATGTTTGGTCTCCAACATGATATTAGTTTATATTCTTGCGAAGGAATTATTATGCTGCATTTTTCCTTTTCCTTCTAATATCTACTTTTCTTACTTTCGATAAACCATGTAGAATTGTCTTTTTCATGGTGAAAATCATATATCATTGGTTTGAGAGCAGAAATCCATAAAAAATGTAGTAGACTGTAGATGGTAATATTTTGTTAATAGGCTGGTTTGTTGAATCTTGTTTGTAGGGAAGCATTAACTTCCTAATCTTTACATGTCTAACTTTTTCCCCATCAATAATGCTTATGGACTTGAAAAATATTTGGACTATCTGGTTGTCTATTAGGAACAGTCTAAACTTGTTTTAATGGCTGTAAGTTATAGATTGCTTTGATGTGTATGTATATTCATGTGTGTATAAGCCTTGTATTTCTGGAGCCATCTGATTTGAGATTTGACTATGTTGGAATTGTATCCTTATTGACCTTTCTTATAGCAGATCATGAAGGAGATACGAAAGACTGTAGAATCTCGAGGTTTTGTTGAGGTCGAAACTCCAGTTCTACAGGTTTGTGAATAAATTAATATTTTTCTGGGGTGTTGCCCTTTTCTGTTGTGGTATATATTTACTGATCCTTGGCTGAATGACCTTTTAGTCTACCTTCACCGAGGTCCTTTCTTGTGCAACACTGTTAAGCAAAATGAATGCTGATTCTCCTAGGCAGAGATGGAAACGCACATAGCTTTCTATCTATTGGGATGTCAATAGAGTGGTTCTAAATGTCTAAAACCTACTTAGGAAAAGGCCACATTCTACTCTATTTTTTAGGGCACATTCTATATAAAATTATGTATCATAATTCTATGATTATTGTTTTTGTTGCATTATTTATTTGTTTGTTTTTGCTTTGTTTTGCGGTGCCAAAGCAAATATTGTTTTCAGGGAATTTGACTAATTAATTTGATTGATTAGGGAGCAGCTGGTGGAGCTGAAGCAAGACCATTTATGACATACCACAATTCACTTGGAAGGGATCTTTATCTAAGAATTGCAACGGAACTTCACTTGAAAAGAATGCTGGTAAACATTTTCGTTTCCAATTTCCATGCATGATTTCGTGTTTTTCCTCCTTGATTCATGAATAATGCAGCTGGTATTTAAACCTTAGGTTCAGATTGAGGGGTTTTTGAAGTTCCTAATTAGTTGGATAGGGGATAATAACAAACCCTCTACGTTCGTGTGTTCAACAATAGGTGTAGGACCATAAGGAAATCATGCATATTGGCAAGGAAGACGCAGATTTTGCACGTTCTGTAGGATTAAAACCACTTTTTAATGTCTGTTATCATATTTCTAAAACATAAGCCTATCATATAATATATATACGAACTGACATGAAAAATCAAGCATGTATACATAATGCGCTTTCACTCAGGCAACTGATATTTTGGGGCCTTGTGTCTTGTGGAATATAAGAAGGGCCCTAACACCTGGGGTAGGCTCACCCTTGACGACACTGATCTTGTTCTTCATTTTTCCCCTTTACTTTATATTTCGATCCTTACTGTTTGACTCTGATATTCTTTTTGGCCGTCAAGTTTATACTGCCATCAATTTTTATATATCCTATTGACAGGTTGGAGGATTTGAAAAGGTATATGAGATTGGTAGGATATTCAGAAATGAAGGCATTTCTACACGTCATAATCCAGAATTTACTACCATAGAGGTATTTACAAAAATATCAGATGCTGATTTCGTGCCTGGTAGTGCTAATATGATTCATATGATTTCAAGTATTAAATTGTTTTGTGAAGCTCTGATTACCATCTTTTTTTAATTGATTTTAGATTTATGAAGCATATTCAGATTATCAGACTATGATGGACATGGCCGAGGAAATTGTGACCCAATCTGCTCTTGCTGTTCATGGAAAGCTCACTATTGATTACCAGGTAATGGCATTAAAAACAGTTTAATTTCATTTATGTAGGTTGTAGATAACTAGGTGTTCTTTATATGTGTGTGTCTGTGTGTAAAATCTATTTGAAACAGGCATCGGAACAACTAATGTATATGCCTTCTATACAGGGGACTGCTATAAAATTACAGCGGCCATGGCGGAGGGAAACCATGCACAATCTTGTCAAAGAGGTCACCGGGATTGATTTTACTGAATTGGAAGACGATCTTAAAGTTGTTAAAGACGTTGTTCTGAAGGCAATTGGAGTTGGACTTGATAGTAAGGACAAATCTTCTATTGAAGCATGTCCTTCACTTGGCCACCTCCTTAACGAGGTCAATCTTCTTTAATATCTCATTAGTTCCTTATAGAGTTAACTGCAAAATGCTGCAACAGAGTTATTTGCACGAGAGGAATGAAAGTATAAATAGGAATAGATTTCGCACATGGAAATGCAATTCCTGTCTCACTCTAGGCTTGAAAAACACAACAAAGCGGTGCCGAAAGTTTCTTCACCCCTTTCTCATCTCCATACACAAGCAAATCATGGGAATTCGCTGCACAGTAATCCATTACAGAGGACTTTTAGAACCATATGCTTATTTGGATTTATTTTGCGAAGACTGTTTCTAGTACTAGTCCACTGCTAGTCGCAATAAGCCTTTGATTTATTTATCAAGTATCACCTTCAGGTTTTCGAAATTTCTGTTGAACCAAAGCTCCTGCAGCCAACGTTTGTTTTGGACTATCCCATTGAAATATCTCCTCTTGCCAAACCACACCGAAGGTATGCGAGCATTACCCAGAACTGGTGTGATATTTTGTGTTTATTTATGCATATAATTGTCTTCACTTTCTGAAGTACTTCCTCTTACTTCTCTATAGGCATTCAGGTTTGACTGAGAGATTTGAACTCTTCATATGCGGTCGGGAACTAGCCAATGCATTCTCAGAGTTAACTGATCCTTTGGACCAGGTAACAATGATTACTTTTTTTAATATGCTAAATATGGAAATTTAGCGGCTTCGACGATAGGAAGCATGGTTGAAGAGTCTTCTTTGGGTATAATTTACGGGATATTGTTGATGATGTTCTTATAAACTATGATTTCCAGTTTAGCTTTAACTCGAGAGCTAAGAAATTTGCATTTGTTACACATGATGGCAGAGAGCCCGCCTGGAAGAGCAAGTGAGACAACATAACAAGAAGAGAGCAGAAGTCATTGCAGATGGCACGGAAGAAGAAAAGAATAAAAATGACGATTCCTTGTATGAAGTGACTCTCGATGATGATTTTCTTACTGCTTTGGAGTACGGAATGCCTCCGGCTTCGGGAATGGTACGCTCATCTTCTTGTTTGCAGATACTGGCATTAATCATTCGTTGTTAAATTTGTTGATGTTAATTGGTTCCACCTAATCATAGTACATGCTGGGTTATAACGGAGCCCAGAATGTGATATTGAGTTATTGACTTCAAAGAATGCCTTTTGGATTTGATTGATATTGTTTGTTGCACGTAATCCGGACTTCTCGATCGTCCCTAGCAAGCTGACATGCATACACACACACACATACATACAAACATACATGCATGCATACACGCACACACACACACACACACATACATTCATGCAGACATACGTACATGCATGCATACATACGTAAACACATACATGGATCCGTGTGCTCTTAGTTTTTCTGACAAAATGTAAAGGCCATAAAGGTGAATATGGTTGTTAGCAAGCTGACATGCATAGACACACATACATACATGGATCCATGTGTTCCCATTTTTTGACAAAATGTAACGGTGAAAATGGTGTTAGCAAGCTGACATGCATACACACATACATGGATCCACGTGTTCTGAGTTTTTCTGACAATGTAACTGTGGAAATGGTTGTTAGCAAGATGACATGCTAATTCACACACATACATAGATACATGGATCCATGTGTTCTGAGTTTTTTCTGACAAAATGTAACTGTGGAAATGGTTGTTAGCAAGATGACATGCATGCACACACATACATAGATACATGGATCCATGTGTTCCGAGTTTTTTCTGACAAAATGTAACTGTGAAATGGTTGTTAACAAGCTGATATGCACACACACACATACAGGCATGGATCCATGTGTTCTGAGTTTTTCGACAAAATGTAACAGTGAAAACGGTTGTTCGTAGGGACTTGGAATCGATAGGTTGGTGATGCTTTTGACGGATTCCGCCAGCATCCGAGATGTCATTGCTTTCCCCGTTTTAAAGATTTCGCAGTAATGGTAGGATGTTACTACTTGAACTATAACTTCTTCCTTTCTATATATTTATTTTTATTTATTGCCCTTATCTGAGCATTCAATGTAGGGTTTATGGTGAAGATCATCAACATTTTAAACGGATTAAAGAACATTTATGGCTTAACTTTTGAAATGAAATTTTAATTAAAAGCAAGAGAAAGCATTATTATACACAATTTTGATCAATAGATCGGTGGTTTTTAGTTTTTGGGTGAAATACATCATAAGTCATTTAACTATGCTCAAAAAATCGTTTTAATACTGGACTTTTAAAATTTTAAAATTTGTCATTGAATTTTTAGGAACTGTTGTTAAACAGTTATTAAATTTTATAGAATTGGTTCAAAATGATTGTTAAAGTTATTGAATTTTTATAATTATCATAATGTTAAAGTGATATTTTGTAACAATTTAATAAATGGAATGATATTTTGTAACTTTTTAAGATTTTAATGATTAAAATGATTATTTGAGCATAGTTTAGTGATTTTCAGTGTACATTAATTTAATTTTTTATTTAAAGATATGAAGAGAACAAAATGTTATTACAACAATATTAAGGGTAAAGTTCACAAATGGTTTTTCACTATATAATACAATTTTATTGTGTTATTTGACTATTAAAAGTTACAAAATGATCTCTCGTAGGAAGTTGTTTTGTTGAGTCCACTATTAAAAGTTACAAAACGGTCACTCGATAGTTTATTATGTTTCAAACTTGTTTTACTCTATTAAAAAAATAATGGTCATCTGAGTTAAATGTTAATATGTTGACTGAGATATGATAGTCGTTTGAGATTGTGAGATTATATTTTTATCATATCTCAGTCAACAGGTTAATTTACAGTTCAGACTTTTGTTAAATTTTTAACAAAAAATGACTGATTTAAAATATAATGAATAGTCGGGTAATATTTTTGTAACTTTTAATAGTCAAAGTACTCAAGAAAGCAACTCTCTATAGTCGAAAAATCATTTTATAATTTTTAATAGTCGATGACTTAATTAAACAATATCCTATAGTTAGAGGATTATTTATGTACTTTACTCTAATATTAATTATTATTTTAAAAAGTATATTTTAATACTTTCTCCATTGAATTAACACTTGATTATTGTTTATAAATTAAAAAAAAAATTATCTATCAACTTTGAAATATACGATTATTTTGTAAATTATATTTTTCACATGATAAAATTTTGAAAAAAATCTTACTTTATTAAGTTACTAGAACGATCAAAGTGATTATTTTATTTTCATTAATTTAAGGTGATTACAAGTAATAATATATATTTTAAAGATTTTTAATTATTTAACCGTGAATGATTAAATATCATGTATAATTATTGATGCTCAAATTTGAGATCTCTAAAAATAATAATTACCCCTTTAACTACCGAATTTATTCAATATTATAAATCATTATAACGTATAATTAAATTAGTAATAAAAATATATGTAAACCAGTTTAAAAGTATAGGAGTATCAAAGTCTTGCGGGATTGAAATATACTTTTAATTGTAATAATTAGATTTAATTAATTAAAATATTTAAGTGATATGGTAAATTTTCAAAAGAGAAAAATAAATTTATTTTAATTTATTCAATTGAAATTAATCAATAAATTTAATGGATAAGATTCTCTCCAATTAGAACTAATCTAGGGTTTCCAAAGGATCTTATCCCCCAATGGGCACACGCCTCGTTCAACAACGAAACGTCCCCGGCGGTCATTGTAACTATGTCACCCACCAATAAAAAACGAACCTATGATGCAATCAAACCAATAGTGTAAGGCCACGTGGGATAACAGCACGTTGGAAAGGTATGATAGGGTGAGAGCAGATCGAATAAGAGGAAAAATTGAGTTAAAGCCTCCTGGTGCAATTCGAATAACCGGATTTGGATTTTCAAATCCCCCTCTCTCTCTCTTCCCTTATTTCCCAAATCTCTATCTTTTTTTGGTTTTTGTTTCCCCGTCTCTGTCTCGGCGGCTGTGCCTTTGAGGCTGAGAGTGTAATTTCTCTTTCTAAAACCCCAAGTCTGAGTTTTGGGATTCGATTCTAGGGTTTAGAGATTCTTCGGTGTGGTGATGGCGCCTATAGTTGCTTCCTCCGTGGATCGTATCCTCAAATATTCGTTTATATTTTTCTTTCATGTGGATCTATACTCGTTGACGCTTCTCTGTCCGCATCTTATGCATTGAACTTGTTGTTTGCTTCTTTTATATGGTTCTTGATCTTCTTTCGACTATTCCGAAGAGTGTTTTGATTTTGTTAGTATTCGATTTGGCCGATTGATTGAATTTGTGTTGACTTGTTATTTGTTGCTCTTTTGGATCGTAAAGAAAATTGCGAAAATTTGTTTTTCTTTAACTTGTTGCTTTCTTTTAGAAACAGCAGAGCTGTTGCAGAAATTGTCTGCAGTCTCACAAGCGAAGCCCTTGGACATTCCTGAGCCTGCCAAGAAGGTAGCCTCCTTTTCCTTCTACTTTTGCAATTATGGATAAAACTGTGCTGTGTGATGCGGATGCTTTAGTTGAAATTAAGTTGGAAAGAATTTGGATCTCTATTTTGGTTGGTCACGGGCGAGGATTTCTAAGATTATCTAAATGCGTGATTAATTTTCTTTGCAGCCTTTAGTTTATCAGTATGGTTCTGTTGATTCAGGCAACGCTGGGAATACCCAAGTTCCATCATTTGAGAGATCTGCAACGCCTTTGCTGCCGGATTTTATGGATCCAACTATGTGCTATATTCCCAGTGATTATTCATCTGCCTATTACTATGGAGGTAGTAAACTAATTTGTTCCTTCGGTTGCACATCTTTTGTTCTGGATTATTTGGGTCTAAAATTGGATTTATTCTGTATATTGCCTATAGCAGGCTTTGACACCTCTGGTAATGAATGGGATGAATATTCACAATATGTGAATCCAGATGGATTTGACATGACTAATGTGAGTCCTTTTCTTAGTACAGGAAGTTGCTGTTAGATGCTATGTCTTTCATGATTTCTTATTAAATTTATGTAATATTGTGTTGTCAGGGAGTGTATGCATACAATGGATCTCTTATGTATCATCATGGTTATGGCTATGCAGCATATGTTCCATATTCACCTGCAACTTCCCCAGTTCCGACTATGGGAAGTGATGGTCAACTGTATGGGCCTCAGCACTACCAGTATCCTCCCTTATTCCAGCTGATGACTCTGACCGGTGGTCCATTCACTCCAAACCCTGCTGCTCTGCCGCATGGAAAGCTTGTGACATCTTCCGGTGCTGATCAAAAGCCCTTGCCTGTTGAAACAGTGAATTCAAATTCCAATGTAGTTGCTAATGGATGCAGTGTGAAGGGCAGTAGCGGACCAGGTGCAATAAAACCATCATACCCCAGCTCATTTAATTCCAATAATTCTTATGGAAGGGGAGCACCGACAGGAGGTGTTCCTACATCTGGATATCAGGATCCAAGATATGGTTTTGATGGGTTTCATTCTCCTATCCCATGGCTGGATGGACCTATGTATTCTGATGGGCAACACAGTCCTTTGACTAGCACTGGAAAAAATTCTTCGGTTTCAAAAGAAAATGGTTTTCCGTCTTCAAGGAATCAAAACTTCCGATCAAATTCTAACTACGTGGTATGTATGATTTGACTTTTAAAATAATTTTCTTATTTGTATTTGACTCTCGGCTGATCTTCTTCTCAGATAATTTGGTGTTCTACTTTTTGGCTTCTCATGGTTATACCTTTAAATTTGTAGGGACTACAGCATCCTGGGCTAATGTCTGCCATGGGAACTCATGGTTATGTTAACGGGATGTACCCAAACAAACCATACGGCCAGTATGGGAACACATTCGGATCTGGAATGGGCTTTGGATCTAATGTTTATGATTCGCGTACAAATGGAAAGGGTTGGTTGGTGGACAATTATAGACCAAGAGGACGAGGCAATCATTATTTTGGTGCTGGCAATGATATCATGGGCAGTTGCAATGAATTGAACAGGGGACCTAGGGCTAAGGGGCCTAAGAACCAAAAGGGTGCAACTCCTGTTCTAGAAGGAGCTATCAAGGGGCAAAATACTCCCTCAGATGGATCCAAGGATGAGGAAAAGGCATGTGTTGTTCTGGACTGTGAACAATATAACCGAGAGGAATTCCCTGTGGATTATGACGATGCCAAATTCTTTGTTATTAAATCATACAGTGAGGATGATGTGCATAAAAGCATCAAGTACAACGTTTGGGCGAGCACACCAAATGGTAACAAAAAGCTTGATGCAGCTTACCATGAGGCTCAGCAGAAATCGGGTCACTGCCCTATATTTCTTTTTTTCTCGGTTCGTGGCTTGTTGCATATTGTCTCTTCTGATAATTTCCTAGTTTTTTCCGTGCTTAACTTCTAATTTTATTGAACTTTTTATAGGTCAATACAAGTGGCCAATTTGTTGGCCTTTCTGAGATGGTAGGACCTGTTGACTTTCAGAAGAACGTGGATGTCTGGCAACAAGACAAGTGGACTGGTTGTTTCCCAGTAAAGTGGCACATAATTAAGGATGTACCCAACAACTCCTTGAAGCACATTACCCTAGAGAACAATGAGAATAAGCCCGTCACAAATAGCAGGGATACACAAGAGGTATTATTTGTTTCTAATGTTTCTTCTTCTCTCTTTTCCCCTATTCTAAGGGTAACCTATGTTTGGTTTGTGCAGATCAAGCTTGAGCAAGGGCTTAAGTTGCTCAAAATCTTTAAGGAGTATTCCATTAAAACTTGCATTTTAGATGACTTTGAATTCTACGAGGTTCGGCAGAAAGCAATTAAGGAGAAAAATGCTAAACTTCAGTTGCAAAAGCAGGCACGACTGAATAATTTTTCCTCTTTTTTTTCCCTTGACGAATTTGTGCTTGTTGTTCATCCGTGAAAATCAATCTGATTTGGTTTCCTCAAAACTGCAGCAGGTATGGGAAGGAAAGGCTGCAGCAGATGAAAAGGAACCTAGTTTAACTGCTGCATTGCCGGAATCTGAATATAGCCGAAACGTCGGTTGCTAGTTTAGCTTTTATCGGGAATTCCGTCGAGGTGTTGGTGGTGTGGTCTCTTGTAGAATAAGATGGCAGAGTGTGAGTTTGTAACTGCTTCAGAATCACAGAACAGTGGACCCAATCTTGGAGGGGAGTTTTCTTGTTGGGGGTGAAGATATAGAAAGTGAATAATCCATGGCAGGGAATGTACAAGTGCTTCTTTACTGTTTTCTTAGGAAGCTGTTGGGTTTTTATGGCTTTTAATTTCAAGTGTTAGTTTTTTTTATTGCCTTTTTTTTGTTTTTGTCTTCCCTTTTTCCCCTCCATATTTTATTGCTGTTACTAATTATTATTATGTTTTTATATGCAGTATTGTTTATTTCTATATATATATTTTTTAAAAATAGTGTAAATTCGAAGCCACCGGAAACAGCAATGTGGACCATTGTGTTGTATTTATCGCAGTCCCGTGTTTATGTATGAATTTAGTCATAGTGACTATATTTGATTTTATGAGTTTACACCATGAGTACACGTTTGAAGACACCCTTTTGAATTTCAAACGTTAATTGTTGGGTATGTCCACACGTTGGTGTTAACATTACAATTTTAATTAACCTAAGGTAATAAAGTAATACTGTATTAAATACTCTTAATTGATATAAACGTTCAATTATTTTATTATAATTGTTGGTGTTCAAACCTATGATCTTTAGAAATAACAACGATTCTCTTGACCACTGATTTTTAATCTTTGAATTAAGTTGATTTGTGCAGAGTTTCAATTTTAATTGCATTTGAGTGGTTCAAACATTAAACAATTGTTGATACTTTCAATCATTGATGGTTGATTCATCAACAAAATTTAATATTGAAATATACACATTTCATTTATTTATTTATTTGTTATATTAAAATTGCTTACAAGTGGGGAAATTTTTGTTCTACTCTCAACAATTTAACCATGAACTCTCAAATATCTCGCAATATTTGATGTTTGCATTTGTGTTATCTAGAAATAACAATTATTTTTTAACCACTAAAATAATTTGATTTGTGCTACACATTTCATTTATTGAAGTGAACCTCAACAAAACCCTCCCATCTAATAAGATTATTTACTAAATATATTATTTGTATTCACAAAATAAATACTCTCTTCAAACGATAAACTTTTTTAACAAATATTTTAAATTACTTTTACTGAAGTTGTAAATATGATAAGATGTATCGTGAGATACTCGAAATCAACTTAGTCAAAACTGAATCAACTATCAAATCAAATAAACTCAATTTTAAACGACTCAAATTCTTACTAAATCAAAACAAACTACTTGATATCTAACTCAAAAAACTCACAAACAACTTTAAAAAATAATATATTAATTTTTTATTAAATTATTTTTAATATTAATATACATATTTAAAAAAATACAATACAAAATTTTCAAAGATTATGTTTGAGTTCAAATTTAAACTTCAATCAAATTAAGTCTAAAAATATTTCAGTTCACAAGTCTAATTTTAATTTTTGATTTTAAGTAAAATTTAAAAAATTTAAATCCATGATCTTTCTGGTTAAACTTGATAATTTTAAACTTAAAATTTCTAATAAAGTTAAGCAAAATTTATCACTTTTTAAGTTAAAATCAATTTTAAGGAAATTGACAATAAAATTTTATACGTTCTAAATACTCTCAATTATTTGACAATAAATGATCACTACCCATCCGATTACAATCGTTGGTGTTCGAATTAATGACCTCTAAAAATAACAACTATTCTTTTAAACACCGAGGTAAATTGATTCATTCCGTAAATTACTATTCTTTGTTATATTAAAAGGTGGCATGTTATTTTATTTTGTTAGATTTTTTGAATTTAATCGGCTGTTAACATACATTAATTTATCAGAGTTCAAGCAACTTAATAAATGTACATTAATTTTCACTTGAATTCAAGCAACTTAATTTGTGGTGTACATGACTTATCTAAGTTCAAATGACTTATCTAAATTCAAATAGCTTTATATATATATATATATATATATATATATATGTAAAATCATATTTAGATATAAAACCAGAATAAAATTTTTAAAGAATAAAAAAAATCTATATCACAAATAAGTGTTTAAACTGTACTCTAATTTTCAATTAAATATTTAAAAATATTTATTATTATCTTTTTAGTAAAAATGTGTAATTTTCAAACTTTTTCATCTAAATTTAAAAAAGAGTGACATGTGATAATTAAAGAATATTTTATATAATTCGATGAAAAAAATGATATCAAAATAAAAATATTTTAAGTATCCGTTTTTAGTGAAAAAGATAGTTTTAGATATTATTTCGACAAAAAATACTTTAAATATTAAGCCTAATAAAACATTTAAACCACCTGATATACCCTAAATCAAAACCTCGGGCTCAAGTACCGAATCCATAGATCGGTTCAAATCATTTAAACCACCTGATAATTAAGAGAATGAAAATGATTCGAATTATACTAAAATTATCAGCTAATAAATTAATTCAAAAAACAAGGCCTCAGAGATCTTTGTGGAAATGATCGTCAAATGGCGAACACCATCAAGAGTAGCAAATATGTTATCACATCACAGGCCCCAAAATCATTAATTTTAATTAAAACCCTAATTTTTATCCTAAAGTTAAAAATAACAATCGAGGAAAAAAAATCAAGAGTCGGAAGTAGCTGGCAGTGTTCTCATGTAACAATCAATGGGAATCCGTCTGATTGTTTTCATCATCCTCTAAATTTCTTTCCTCCATTTTAAAAAACAAAAAACAAAATTGAGAAATTAAAAGGAAAAAGGGAAATGTATCTACCTTGTCACCGATAAATCCCAGAAGAAAAAGGAACAATCGGAGCTAAAGGGAGAGTATACACAGAGGAAAGCTGCGCATACGAAGAGCCTTTACTTTGACCTAACGATAGATCCTTCGATCCATTCTGATGGTGAAAGATCAAAGAATTGCAATTAGTAGGCCCTCTAACACCGAAATGGTTCAATTCAAAAGGAATTAGCGTGATCGAGGCACGAAAGATCAAACAAAAAACTAGTAGCTTCCTCAAGCCACCGCCTCCATGTGAGGGAATAGCATATTAGTTTTTTTTTTTTTTTTTTTGTGAGGTGGTGTGGGGTGTATTTATAAATTGGTGAGGCTTGGTTTGCCGCGCCGCCCATATCTACAAATAGTCACTAAATTATATTAAAAATTATATTTTTAGTCATTAGAATTCTGAAAGTTACAAAATAATTATTAAATTTATTTAATTATTACAAAATGGTCATTTAAATTATTAAAAGTGATAAACATTGATAAGTTGAAGGGTCTTTTTTTAATAATTTGATAAGATTAATGATCATTTTGTACTAATTTGATAAGATTTTGGTATCACTCTATAACTTTTAAAAGTTTAGTGATCAAATTTAATATAATTTCGTGACTATATTTGTATTTTACATATTCTCTTTCTGATGAGTGAACCTATAAATGTTACAAAATTATAATTATATCTATCAATTTTTTTAATTTTTATAATGTCATATGAATTAGCGCATACTAACAGTTTGATAAGTTTAAGATTATTTTATAAGATTAAAAAATTTGATTGTTTTTATTTCTTAATGTTATTTAAAAATATAAAATTTCAAACCATTTTATATTTATTTTTGGACCTATTTTTAAGATATAATAGAAACATTAAATAATTAAAAAATAATAAGGTTCCGAGTAGAGCTGTTCATTCGGTTAAAATCGAACCGAATTACCATTAACCGAATTAACCGAACTTTTTTTATTTAACCGTTAACCGAACTTTTTTTCAAAAATATTAACCGAATCAAATAAATTTCGGTTAATTTTTGAATTAATCGATTTTTTTTAAAATTTTCTAATTTATATAAAAATTAAATGTTTTTAAATTCAAAAAAACTTTATAATTAATTTAAATAATATATAATTATAAAATAAAAATTTTAGATAATTTTTTTAATTAATTAATATTGATTTATGTTTAAAAGTTATTGGATCATAAATTATTAATTGGGTTTTAAATGGTTTGGGCTGAACCCATATGTTATATATAATATATTTAATATTTTTTAATTAAAAAACAGTTTACAATTAATTTAATTAATATATAATTATAAAATAAAAATTTTATATAAATTTTTTAATTAATTAATATTGATTTAGGATTAAAAATTATTGGATCTTAAATTATTAATTGGATTTTAAATGATTTGGACTGAGCCCATATGTTATATATAATATATTTAATATTTAAAATTTAATTTCAGTTAATTCGGCTAATTAACCGATTTTGAACTGAATTAACCGTTAACCTAATTCTAAAAATTTTCTTAACCGTTAACCGACCGAACTAATTTGGTGGCCGACCGAATTAACCGAACTAATTTGGTTTGATCGGTTAACCGAATTAGTTCGGTTATTTGAACACCCTAGTTCCGAGTAATCTCGCATTTGAAAAATGATAGTCATACAATTCTATGTTTTAGACAAACATTCCAACTACAGCATGATCATATACAAAATTCTTCAGCTATCAAGTATTTGATCACATTGCTACGATTTTTCTGGTTTTTAACTCAGCTACGGCATACAACTCAGTTCATAAGCACTTGAATGAGCTGAAGATTACCCTTCACAACACTAGCCGTTTTCGAAGTGGTAACTCGGAGACCGACGAGAAGCAAAAGATGGCTTTGAACGAACTAACTTTCATACTTTAAGTGGTACTTCCTGGTTAGATTTCGAAGCCTGAGCTTGGCTGGTTCCAGCAAGATCCTTCACAAACGTCCGTAGGCACCCGTTGATTACTCGTGGTGCTGCCCCGTCACAGAACCGCTTTGCAAGATCGACGGCCTTTGCAGAACACACAGTGCTTGGTTTTAAGCATGAAAGCTAATGCCTACTGGTTGGAAATATGCTGAAAGTAAAGGAACGCTCAGGAAATGAGAGATAACATAAGAAAGAGATACCTCGTTAATGACAATTGGGTGTCGGGTCCCAAGAACAGTTATCTCCGACATTGCCAAGTGAAGAATACTAAGCTCCAAAATCCTACCAGCCGGCTCATTCTGTGAGGAATGAATGTATAAGATCAATAGATATTAATATACAAGATGCATAAGAAATCGAAAGGGTGAGGGGAGTCGCAAACATTTAAACATCGAATTCACATGTCGAAAGCATGTGCACAAGTATCTACCAAAGAGATTAAGAGAAACTAAGTCTAAAAATCCACGTAAACGGACCTTCCAATTTGATGGCACGACTTTATCGATAACAAGGACATGACTGTCCCATTTGTCCACGGTTGCTACCAAAAGTTTCCTTGCGAAACTACAAAAAGCGACAAGAGGTCAGTTAGAAAGCATAGTCTCTCTCAAACTTGTTCAAGCAGGAGCACTGACGCGAACAACCGACACCAATGCCTTGACATTTCATCAAGTATAGTTTTGAAGAACGGGTGCAACCCAGCTTTTTTATCAGAGGAATGCATTATAATGCAGTTAAGAATTATAGGGTTATGGTTTACCTCAAAATAAGTTTGCTGTACACCAACTTCGGAGGAGCCGATAGAACTTCGGCCTCTGCAATATGATGGCAAGATTGTGTCAGTTAAACCGGGTGGTTAGCCATGTCAACATTTTCCATCCGAATTCATCTCAAGTGAATCATAAATAATTGCTAGAGTGCTTAATTTGTTGCAATAAAAGTGTACTAACTAGTGAGAATCAGAGCTTATTCTGCCATTATACATGAAGAAAAAACCGTAAGAATCTACATGAAATTCAATGTCGGACTGTATTTTGCGGTTAATTACCGATGGCGGAATCCTGCTCATCGCTGCGTAAAAGCTCATCGGCTTCTTCAATGGATAGCGTAGTGACCGGAGCTCCTCCGTAGCTCATGTGGTTGTATTGCAATAACGAATCCTTGTCGAATTCATAACCGGGTTCTTTGAATATAAACGAAAACAAAAAAGAAAGATTATCCAGTCTTCAATTCAATTCTAGCTCGTCTTTAGAACCCTAATATCTCTCTGCTAGAAATGGATGCAATAATTTCTCAATTCACAAACATATATTTCAAATCCATCCCTAAATAAGCATCCAACATAATGAACTCGCATGGTAGTATCTTATGTAATACTTACCTCTGGCTACATTTATCCGTTTCTCAAACAGCCGAATAGGGTCCGAGCCTTGCAAACACGACGCATAAACGATTAATCTGCCCAAACAACCAATCGCGAATTCAATGAAACTGGAAAAAATGAAATGAATTGAGAATGTGAAGAAGCTAGACCAAAAAAAAAAGGAGAAAGAAAACGTACAAAGCAAGCTCCCGGGCGGCTCTAGGGCTGCAAAAGCGGCCACTTTTGTCGATTTTAGGTAGCACGTCTTTGGATTTGTGAAATGCTTGTTGGTCCTGGACCTGGAGTTCCATGGAAGGGAGTGAAGTTCGAGTTCTGAGGCTTGCACGGTGTCGACGATTGGGCGGAGGAAAGCTCGGAAATGGAAGCTCCGGCGACTGGCGGCGTAATCGGAAATGGGTTTTGGTAGTGTAATAACAGCTTAAAACACAGCTCAACTGGATTCCCTCCATCTTCTCTTTGCCCGCTCTGACTACCCTATCTTCTTCTACTTCGAAGTTCTGGTTTTCGACTTTTAGATATTTTATTATTTATTTGGATAAACATTACATTTAGTACCTACACCATTATATTTTATCTGTTTTTGTACCTAAACTTTCAATTTTTTAAAACCATACATAATATTTAATTTTTATTTCATTTTAGTATCTCACTGTTAAAAACTTAATGCGTTTACCTAAACTATCAGTTTTGGTACATTTTAGTACCTAAATTTTCAATTTTTTTAAAAACTTAACATTAACTTTTGAACATGTTACTAAAATGAAATAAAAATTAAACTTTTAAAAAAATTTAAAAATTTAAGTACTAAAACTGATTGTTTATGTATTAAATGCATAATTTACCCTTTTTTGGATTAATTGCATAACACACTTGAGTTTTCGGCACATATTGAAAAGCTAGTCTTTAAATTTCAAAATATTATAATTAAATTCTTTAAATATCAATATTGTATGATTTAACTCATTTAAGACAAATTATCTATGAAATTGAGCTTAAATGTCAATGAAAATGATTATAAGGGTAAACTATATAAATAGTCTCCAAACTTTTAGGGTGCTTGTATTTTGATCACCTAAGTTTTGAAACTTGTAACATAGTCATTAAATTTTTAGTTTATTTACAATATGATCCCTGCCGTTACCGCCTTTTATCTGCCGTTAATAGAGAAGAGAATGGCGTGACACGTTAGTATCCCGTTTTCAGCTAAAAAAAATAAAATTAAAATTCTCAAACGACGTCGGATTACATCTGGGAAATGTTAAATGGGTTTTAAAACCCATTTAATCACCCGAACCGCTGCCAATCGCCTCCCCCACCTCCTCTCCGTACAACTTGCACTCTCCATTCACACCACTTCCCCTTCTCTCTCCTCCTCCGCCACCATCCACATACGCCCGCCCTTCTCCGGCATCGACCTCCGGACATCCCACCAGACTCTCCAAGCCGGCCTAATACGTGATCACCAAGGTCGATGACCTTTTGAACTGGGCCTGTCGTGGGTCAATCTGGACCATGACCTTCGGCCTTGCTTGTTGTGCCATGGAAATGATGCACACCGGACATCCCATGTTTCATGTAATCTTCTATCTTCTTTACTACAATTTCATTTCTTTATTTGTTTTTCTTCCTTCTGTTTCTCTGTAACATTTGCAGTTGTCGTGTTGTTGTTGTTTTTTTAGTTTTCTCCAAATTTACATCCACTTGTTGCAAAATATAATATACCCATTTCATTTCATCTCTGTCTTTGGGGTTTTTTTCACTATGAATTTGGCGAGTCTTTTTCTTCTTCTTTCACAACGTTGTCTCCCTTAACCTCTTCCTCTTTCTGTGGGCTATGAAGTAATTACCGAAATATAAAGTTTTTGGCTTTTTTATCATTCAATATTAGCCTTTTGTTTTATCATTCAATATAAAGTTTTTCTCTCTGCTTATGGTTCTCTATATTAGCCTTTTGTTTTGTTTTCTGTGAGTTCTGAAATTTCTTTCAATCTGATGTATTATTTGCTTTCAATTTGTGAAAAATGTGTACTGAGAGTTTCCAATGAGCAGCATTTGGGGTCTGAGGGGCCTTGTTTGCTTCAATTCTTCTGTTTGTTTCCTGAGAAATTGCAAAAGACAGAAAGACGAGAGTTATGAAGTTCGTGGTTTTAAGCCATCTTCTGTTCACTTTCGTATTCCGATCTCTGTAATTTGATTGTAACTAAAAGTTTTTGAAAATCGATTGGTTTTGATTCTATTTTGTTAAATTTGTATCCTATCTTGTGAAGAAGGATGGAGGAGGAGGGTTGGCTGCCATGTCAGCAAAAAAGCTAAAAAAAAAAAGAAGAATGGTTGACTGCTACGTCAGCAAAAAGTTAGAAAGAAGAAGGGTTGACTGCTACGTCATCAAAAAAGTTAGATGACTAAAATATAAGTGTCATAAAGGTTCGGGGACTATTTTTATAGTTTACCCTTATTATAATTGACCTTTTAAAGTATTTATTAATGCTTAATAAAAAAAGTTAATAATTATAGATGTCCATGACAATTTATCTCTTATGATAGTTCGTAAAAGATAAAATAAAATATTATAATCTAATTTTTTAATGGAAAGACAAGACTGATTAATGACATAGATTTATTATGGGTATAACAATATAAATCAAATTATCAGCTTAAATATGAGATTAAACATATTTAGGACGTAAGATAAATCAAATTGTTATATGTGTATCTATATTTTAATTTAATTATTTTAAATATATTTTATGTTAGATTTTTTCTTTAAAATTATGAACTAGTTACATGGTAATATTTATTTAAAACTTTTTTAATCTATTGATAATATATATTGTAGACACAACTATTAGAACTCAAAATCTCTAAAGAGAATAATATTTTTTTATATCAGATCTAAACATTTAAATTAATTAATGAAAAATATTTAAATTGAATATTAAATAGATAAAATGAGATATCAACATCTGAACCTGGAGATAGTACCTCGATTATTGAAAGAGAAAAAATTGTCTAAAGTCAATTAAGCCACTTAATTTTATAAATAAAATTTGTACTATAATCATTAAATTTTTAATTTACTTTCATTTCATTATTGACATGACCCTCTAAGGTCGGATTTTTCAAAACAAAAATGAGTCGAGTTAAATTCAAATTAAATAATTGTATAATTGTACTTCAACTCTCGTTACCGAATAAAGAGTCTAAATACAATTTGTTAAAATAAAACTAGAAAACAACATAAATCAATTCTAACCAAAAATCTTATCAAGATCGTAACTTTTTTAGTTAAATAGAATACCATTTTCGGTTGAAACTAAAAATATTATCTTCTAAAATATTGCATTATTCATAACATTTTCGGTCATAACCAAAATTATTATAAATTGTATACCTTTTTCAATTGTAAACCCTAAACCCATCATAATATAACTTATTCGTTTATAACCGAAAATATCACAAATTGTATAACTTTTTTTTCTTGAACAGGACAACTTTTTCGGTTGAAAACAACCTTAAATTAGCTTTAAATTAGACTGTCGCACAGCAGAACTATCCCTTGTAACCCTGAAAGGGGGGCTCTTCAAGAATGTTTTAAGCAAAGATGCCTAAAGCAGCACAAAAGTCAAATACAAAGCAAGTTCAAAGACAGCACAATCCTAGCTGTTACAAAATAACCCTCAACCCCATGTGCTAAGCTTGGTTTCTGTTTCTGATCTACAACTCTGTACCTTTCAGCTAAGAAACCAACCTTGGCTTCTACAATCATCACCTCTCCATCTCATAACCAACTAAATTTCTCAAATATATAAAAAGAAATGGAACCAAAAAACATTTTTAAACTCTATTTCTTACAGGAGTTAAACACACCGTTCGCCTTTTTTCTTCTTCTCTAACTCGAAGACCTTCAGCTACATCCTGCGAAAAGAATGACAAAGTAGGAACCTGTACAAATCCACTCCCGCCCTGCCGAAAAAAAATTAAGCCTTGAAACAAGGGATTTGAAAGTGATAATAATAAGCTCAGTTTCTCATGGATATCATGCTCGGATTCAAACAGATTGAGGCTTTTTTAAAGCATTCTCCTCCTGCAAGGGTAGGGTTCAGCGGTAATTACGAAAACATAGTAACCATAAACCAACAGTTAGCGCAGAAAACCATTCATTAAGTATATTATGAAAAGATGAAACATGCTACCCATAATTTAACAGCTTGTACATCCAAGTTGACGAAGAAATAGCTTTAAGGATCACCAAAGCTATAGACATCAAATTAAACCGATTATGGTACACAGGATCAGCGTAGCTAAATCCACAAAAAAAACAGACAAGAAAAGAAGAACCCATGCAAGTAACTCACTACCTTCCATACTTGAAGACTATTACTTTTTCATGCATAATTGGATCATATTTTTTTCATTATATATGTCTCCTAATTCATTTCAGCCCTGAATAGGATTGGCGAAATAATAGCAATAGGCTCCAAGCACTAGATTCTTATTCATTCGTCTATTTATTTTGTTTCTCTTGCAACGGAACAGAAACAGACTATACAAAATCATCATACAAGGATTAGTAAACTGCAAGAATAAACCATACAAATAGGATAAAAGAAACCACGTGGTTAGAGGAATGATGATTGGTGAAGCACACTCATCGGCATCACCAGACTAAAACTAACACTAAACTTCAGTAGGATCAGGCCGGAAAAAAGAACTTTTTTTGAATAGAAGGAAAAAACCAATGAAATCCTATCAGATATACACCAGAATCTCTAAAATTTCTTTTACATGATTGTGGTAAACAAAATCTTGTTCCTTTTTCAAGCTGACAATCAAGAAAGGTAGTGTCAATTACTTTCTACAATCACACACCAAATAAGCAGAAAGCTTCCCTACACAAAATAGCATGTCAATCTTTGACTTTATGAAACTTGATCAACAAGAAAGGACATGAATAGTCCTAGCAGAAAAAGACAGATAATTTCAAACAATTAAATGACGCCCCTATAGAATTACCATCAAAATCTAAATCTTACATAGAAATTAGAGACACACTTGTCTCTTAATTGAGCAGTCTCTAAGAGCTACTTGACCTATTGCTAAAAGCGAAAGAGTAAGCAAATGTCTATCGTGTGACAATGTCATCGGAGAGTAGAGGAAAAGAACAGACGGTTGCTTACATCGATAACCCGAAGAGTCCTTACAGGTGACAGCTTTAGCAGAGAAGTTTCAACATCAGGAGCAGATCCACTTCCACCCATACCATCATGACCCTGACAAAACGAAAAAACAAAAAGGGATGGATAAAAAAAAATAAAGATGTTCGGAATAATTGAAGAAAGGGTTACATTTGTACCAGAAAAGAATTTCTATTGTATTGCTGACGATCTTCAAAGAGAGAAGAGTAATAAGGTGGATCATAAATGGCACCTCCTAAAGCTTCATCAAATTCATTTTGAGAGCGCTGTCTAAGTAAGGCATCTGAGGGAGTTGAAGGGCTTAAAAATCCATTTCTCAAATCAAAATCGGGGTCTTCGGCACCACTGCTTACATACGAAACCCCAAGCCTATATATTTGAAACCACAACAGAGAAGACCATAATCTCACGAAACAACCCACTATCTCCATCGCAAGCGTTAACCTTACCGAGAAAGTGAACAACATTCCGCGACCCTCCCCTTCTCCTTCCCCGTCGCCGTTGCTCTCTTTCGACATGTTCCAAATGTCGTGCGCAAAGAGGGCGAACCAGGAAATGTCGAGCAAAATGGCGCAAAAGAGCAGAACGGCGTAAGCCCGGCCTAAGCTTTGACTGCCACTCTCGATGGCGACCAAAGAGAACAAGGCTATGCCCAAACTGGCCAACAACACACCGTTGTATAATGCGCCGAGGGATCCGGTCATGGCGCACCCAATCTGAATCAATCGAAAATGAAAAGATAATATATAAAGAAAACCGAGAAACGGTAAATTAGGGTTAGGGACAATTAAAAAGAAGAGGAAGAAGAAGAAAGCAAATTACTTGGATGTAAATGAGGATGACAGCCACATAGAGAAGCCTATCATAATCACGAAGACAATCTTGAATCGCATCTCTCAGATTCTGAGAGCAACAACAAATCATTATCTGCTGCAATTCATCCAAATTTTGATTTCCCCTCCAAAACAACAACAACCTGAAAAAAATCAACTGTTTTTCTTGCGTTTGATTTGAGGTTTTGCAAGGCTACATCGAAATCGAATAAATAAATCGAAATTCCAAAAAAAAGATCAAACACACTCAATGATTCAACACGTTTCTTTCTTTTTTGTTCTTTTCATAAATTAATTTTGTTTTATCTATTTTCTGTCCAGGTTGATGAATGACGATTGAACAGTCATTATTTATTAATTTTTTAATTTTTATGAGTAAATTAACTTTTAGTTCTTAAATTTAACAATATGTTTAATTTAATCCTTAAACCTTTTTATTTTTGAGTTTACAGTCTTTTTATTATAAATCTAAATTGAATACAAGATAATATCTATTAAAAAATAACTCTAGACCATTTGACAATAAACTCTTATAATTTTAAGGATAATAATAAGTCCCTTAACCATTAAAAATATTAGATTATAAATTTGACAATGAACTATTAAAAAATCAAATGATTTATCGAGTAAATTATATCAAATACTGCTCAACTTTAGACATTATATCATCTATATAACTAAACTTTCAATCGTTTCAATTAAAACATTAAAATTCCCTCCTCGTTTTAATTATATCATTAACTCCATAACGATATTATATCATCGAATCATTAACTGAATAATGATATGATGACGATTGCTGACATAGATAACAACCAGAACAATGTTGTTTTGGTCGTAATATTTTAATAATCAAAACGAATTAAAACGATAATTTTATAAATGTTTACTGTTTTAATGCTACATAACATCTTATCATTTCTTAATTATCCTTATAAAAACAAAGTTGTTTTAGACATCAAAATAATATCACCAAAATGACATCATTTTAGTATGACAACCACATCAGCAATTGCATCATCACGTTGTTACTGAGTTAATAGTCTATGGTATAATGAAAACGAAAATGAAATTTCAGTGTTTTGAAACAATTGAAAGTTTAGTGAGATAAACGATATAATACCTAAAGTTGAATGGTATCCAACGTAATTTACCCTAATTTATAATAATTACTCAATAAAATAGACGATTTAATTCTAATATTTGTCTAAAAAAATCGATAATACAACTGAAAGTCAGACTGTGCTGTGTGGCTAGAATGAAACTTAACTCTATCATCACAACCAACTGTAGCTTGGCACTCCAGCCATAATTATTTGGTCACTACTATCTCCTTGTGAGCTTTGAATGAGAGAATCACATTCCAAATTACAGCAATGAAATTTGCAGCAAGGACCTGAAAGAAAATCGAACCACCAATCGACGGTACAGTTTCAGTTAGACTGCGTAAAACGAAATTGACATCTGAAAATCAGTTAATTCAATTCGATTCAATACATTCGGCCTCGTGGAACATCAGGATCGGAATGAGTGCAGTTTTTCTAGGACAATGACAATACTACCACATCATCTAAACGTCGAACCAAAAAGAACTGAGCACATCGAGCAAAAACTTTCGAAGTTTTCAGTACCGGAAGCCACTTATACGAGTCGTGGTTAAAACGCCTAAATATGATTACCGCATCAATCCTATCAACTCATTCAACATGATGTACAAATTTAACATGGAACTGACCCTATTTCACAACCACAATCTTATTGCATAGAGCATAGACTTGTTTCTATCGTGGTTCTACCTCAACAACAGTTTAACACGACTATAATCTACAAAGTGTTCGGAAAACAACAAACCGCTTAAAAAGGTTCTTAAACTGAATGATATGCCTCCACAACTAATACAACATGAAATGATTTAATAGGTCAATGTTATGTTATAAACATTTAACAGAGTAATCATGTTAATTTCGAGTTACAAAAATAGGTAAGCCAAATTCCAAATCATCCAGCCAGGGTTAAAAGAGAGAATGGCATTAAAATCAGATGAATTAAACAAAAAAATCACCTGGAACTGTTGCGGGACAAAACGAAAGTTGAGAAATTGGAAAGGTATCCACAGCTGCCAATTTGCAACAACAGCAGAAAACCACTCCTACAGGATAAAGTTTTCACTATGTGCGTGAGAGAGAGAATGCAAAGCGGGGAAAGCCAACAAAACCCCACTTCAAAGAACGCGTAAATATTACGCGCCCATGAATCAAGACTACCTGTTGAAGTTTGGGTACAACTTGCGACGGCCTTCCTTCTAGTGTAGTCAACGTAGATAAGAAAACCCCAATAAAGATAGGAGCAAAAATGAACTGCAATATATTGCACAAAATTAGCATAAACGTTTAAACCAATTGAGCTAATAGAAATTTTCTGCAGATTAGCACGAAAGATAGTTCACCTGATCCAGCAAAAGCCGCAAGAAAGCACCCGAAGCTCCAGGTAATTTTACCAATTTACTTAGATTCAAATACCTGCAAAATTACCCAAGTGTAATATAAGAAAAACAAAAAACAAATCATTTTAAATAAGCATGGTTCCATTATGAACTGTCCAGAAACATAATAAATAGCAGAGAATTTTGCATATGATGTCCGAAAATGTGTAATCCCAAGGATAAAAGTCATTCACTAATTAACACATCAGATTCTAAAAAGTAAGCAAAGAATATAATTAAGAAACTAAAAAAAGAACATCAATAAAACAATGATGCACTAGAGATTTGCTGAAGAATTAAGTAGGCAAGTGAACAAAGTAACTCTAATCATAAAACCGATTTGAACACAGAGAATCGATCATGAAAATTACCAGAAGTGCAATGCAGGACCAACTAACACCAAACCCAATAAAGTAAATATAAATGTCCTCTTCACGTCTAGGGATGGCACATGATCAATTGCAAGCTGAAGTCAAAATTTTCAAAGTGAAGTCAAGCCTAGAATTGCATTAATAATATGGTTTAATCTGAAAGATTTATATCTCAAAAATAGCAAAGTACAATTACTAATGATAAAGGATGTAGTAAACCAAGGAAAGATCCTGGTCTGGAAATATTTCATTATCAGAAATTGGAAAAGAATAGCCTTAACCAGTTGAAACTCATGAAAACAGAAAACAAAACAAAGACCAACATAAAATCTCAATCTAAAAAGAAACAAGCCGACTGAAGCTCCCAACTCAACTTCCCATCACTCGACATCAAAAATTAAAGTTTGGGCCTTAGGACCACCTTAGGACGTCTCTTAAACACTCTATAGAGGCTGCAACATGCTTTCCATCGACACTTCTCTTCACCTATAAAGCACAGCATCAATCTATTCTATTGTGCAACATTTGTGCAATTTGTCAGCGAGACAACAGCATTGCTCAGGCATGATGTTTTTATTCTTCCTTCCTGTTTTGTCTTCTCTTTTTCTTGTTCGGTCTCATTGGTTTCTTGCTTCTCTCTCCACATTCTTCCCAAAAGTTTTTGTCATGCAATGATGGCATGTTCTCAGGTTTTTTTCTCTGTCAACCACATAAATCAAATCATATGCAAGATTGTATTGTGACTCGTGACAGCATGGGCACATGTCCATGTCTAACCAAGCTCAAGTCCTTGTTTAATTGTTATCACCAACTTTTCATAATTTCATTCAACACCGGCTCTGACATATATAAAACTATATTCGTTTAACCCAGCCTGTCAATAACATGTTATTTTACATAAATACTACACTTTAAATTGGGAAAAAAAACAATCATTTTGTTGTGTTAAAAACAGAAAAGAAAATCAAGTAAAATTAGAAACCAGATGCAAACCAGGAGAAAGGGTAAAATTACTCATGGTCCATTCTTTTTCTAAATGAAACTTAGAAACTTACTTGGCAAATCAAATCCCCAACAAACGTCAAAAGCGCAGATGTCACAGCTTTTGTCAACACAGGATACTTTGCTAGAAGACCCAAGTACCTATTAAAAAACTTTAGCAAATCAAATTTGAGGGGAATGTACAACATATAACTAAAAGGTAACAAAATAAAAACTTTGGCAATCTAGAGTAAAATTTCAGCATACTAGTCTGTTTTTTCTTTTAATTGCACATGGATGTCCGCCAGTATGGTTCCATGGCACCATAAAAAACACACTGCTCAATCAGCCTTCACAAGAAGTGAATGTTCTAAGAAACCATTGTAAATGCTTCGTAAATGACAAAGTATTATACCTTGAAGCAGTTAGCATACACTCGTCAAGGAAAGTGTATAAAGCTTAAAAGGTTCTTTCCCTCATGTTTATTCAATTTTATGCAACACTTCTAAGAACTCAAATCTAATAGAGAATATAAAATCTACGTTCCAAGTATCCTACACCGTATACATAGGTAACTAGAGTCTTCTGTACGTATGTGTATGAATATATATATAGATAAACCCAATAATGGCTTTAAACACTGATGGCTGGAACTGTTATTCTAAAAGAAAAAATTTACTAATGCAATTTACTAATTAAACAAAATTTTTAACTTTTTAATTAACATCTTTCCTCCCAATCATCTACCTCCATAACATCCCATTGTAGAAGAATTCTCAACCCTAATAAAAAAACTTAAAATATATACATTTTCCCAAACAAATGTGTTTATCAAACCAACTTTTAATAACTCGTTGCTACCATCTTCCTAGGGGAGCCAATCACCCATGCCTACTGAACAATTGAAACATGAAATGCCAACAATTTTATTCCGAGACTTGGTACAACTATTCCTTACTAATAAAGGATCTAGATGAATAGAGTTTCACTAAATTCTTTTATTGTGTGTTCGAGCATTCCTTCTCTTTGTTCTTCTTCTCTTCTACAACGTTACCAAGTACATTCATGGCATAGGAACAGCAACAGTAACCTACTTCATTCCAGTTATGCAGCTCAGCTTGCTTACATTCATCATAAAATCAAGCTATCCAAGATGTACATTGTGAGCTCAAGCAATAGAAAACATGTGCATCAAGCACTCTAATAACGAAACTTTTTATGAACGTTCAAACAATATACTAATAATGAGCATTTTATTGATATTCTTATCCAAACATCCATCAATTTGAAGCAGAGAAAAGTGGAAAATAGCAAAACGATATCATAAGGCTTTAGTTCATTACCATGAAAGAAAGGACCAACCGCTTCTTCCTCCGTCACCATCAGCGCCTTCACCTTTGCCACCAGAATTCCCATCGCCGGAGCCTCCAAAACCATCACTTCCACCGGACCCACCGTCCGAAACCGCTGAAACCCGTAAAATATCGAAACCCAGCAGCCCAGCTGCTCCAGTTTTGCTAGCACCCCATTCATCAAACACGGCTCGATGACTAGAACTCGAAAGACATGGATAAGAACAGCCCTTGGACTCTCTGACGGGTAACCTAGTTCCGGCTGCAGAAAGGCACGGATTTTTCGAAGAAAAACTCGTGAAAAGGTACACGTGAGGGAATCCACGGGTGAGTAGCTGGGAATTTAGAGCCATATTTGTCACTGGCGACTCACAGACAGAGTTGGGGAAACTAGAAAACTGGTTGTATGGATTATGCTTACGGCTATGGCCCTGCTATAATATGGCTCCTAATCAGCAATGCGTAGTGACCTCCTAATCAGCGTTTGATCGAGAAGATTCAAGTTGAATTAAAAACTTTCCAGTTATTCAAGGTGAGAAGTTATATTTTACACTTGAATTTTATTTGAATTATTTTAATCAAATTTATATAATTCAAGTCTAGTTAAATTTTTAGATTCTGTTTAAATTTAATTATAATATTTATAATATTTCGATATTATTTGATTTTAATTTAAATATTTTTTTATAATTATATATTTTATATTTTTTCATATGTGATATATATATATATCATATAAAATTGAGAGACTCGATTTAAACTTAAAAATCAATCTATTAATTATTAAATATTTTAGGTTACTATTCGAATTGTATTTTACAATTCTATTTGGATTTGAATTTTTTTTTCAATGAAATCGAATTTATAAAATTATAATTTGAAATTAATTAGAGTCAAGTTCTATTGAGTTGGAAAAAAAATCCATTTTCCGAATAAGTTTTACTCACTTCACCTTCTTACTCTATTTTGACCCGAAACTTTAACCCGACTCGGCAAATCTGTATGATATTTTGACCGTCACGATAAGAAAAGTTTTTTAATGGTTAAATTTTATTGTTAATCCATGTACTATTCGAAAGTGATAAATTTAGACTCTGTATTTTAATTTGATCGATTTTGATCTTTATATTTATCAAATTTTAAATTTTTAGCCTCGATCCAAATTATATAGATATAATAGGATTAAATTGTAGATTTAAAATGATCAGTTTTAAGAACATAAACTAAATTTATAATTTATGTATATTATAAGAATTGATGATAGCATGATTTATTTTAATGTATTTTGTAGTTACAAATTGAGTCAAGACAATGATTTTAAAATAAAAAAATCATACCTAAAAAAATAAAATAGAATACAAGAGATAACAACGATTTCTCGTTATTTTTAATAAAAAAAATAAGTTATAAACATTTGTGACAATTCATTTTATGGTTTAGTGAGAAAAGGAATGCAAAAGAAAATGGTTTAGTGAGAGAAAAGGAATCCAGATTAACATGTGAAGATTTCGGTTTATATTATGTGTCCACTATCTTCAATTATCATAAGGTGTTATGTGCAGGGCCGTGGCTAGGTTATCGGGGTCATGTATAAATTCTTATAAAGGGACCTCTATTTTCTAGATATATTCGATTTTGGGATAATAATAGTGGCGTTGTTTTGATAAACGCCGCAATAGGTCCATCTGTAATAGCGTTTTTTAGTAAAAGCCGCAATAATAGTGGCGTGTTTTTTGAAAACGCCGCAATAAATCCATATATAGAGGCGTTTTTTTAAAAAAAACGCCACTATAGATATATTTTTTTAGGGCCCCTATTTTTTTGGGGCCCTGAGCGGTGGCCCATTTCGCACCATCCCAGCCACGGCACTAGTTATGTGTTATTCTGAGCATAAAGTATTAATTAATAAATGACTTTGACTTCATAAATCTATATATAATTAGGGGTGGTCATTTACCCCAAATTGAAAGAGTTTTGATTTAATTTGACCTTATAAAATTTAGTTTTTTATTCAACACATAAGAGCGTTGGTTGTTAAGTCTGACTCTCTTTAGGTTAGATGAGCAGATACGTATGTACTGAAGGGTATACCATTTATGGAGTTTGTGTCCACTTCTGTTTGTAGTTGGTATTGAAGGAAGCTGTTGAAGTTAAGGAAAATGAGTACCCATTTCGTGGATGTTGGGTTAGGTTGCTGGACTGGTTCTGGGAAGTCTAAAGAGGATTGATAGTTGACAGCTTAAAGTATGAGAGTGTCTCTTGGGCAAAGTTGGTTTGGTTCTCGTTGCACGTCCCTCGGTTCGCGATGCTGGTGTGGTTTGCAATCCAAGATAGATTGCCAACAACTAAGGATCGTCTCCTGAGGTGGGGAATGGAGGTGTGGCTGTTACCTCTGTTCAAATATACTAGTAGCAATGGTTGGCCTTTTCCCCTCAACTAATTGTTTATATCTTTTTAGCCATAGATGCATTTATTATTTTCTTGAAGAAGTTGAAGGTGCATTAATACATTATTGTTATTCTTGTGTCACGACTTTGACGGACATATGGTTGTGATGATATTGCTATTTATTATGTTATTTAAGAAGTTGAAGGTGCATTTGGTTCACTGTGAATTATTAGAATTGTAAAATAAGGATCTAATTTATATATAAAATAAAAAATATCGTAATTATTTTTAAATATTTAAGAGATAATTATAATATTATTTCAGGTTTGGTCATATTATTTTCTTCGTAAATTTGGATTCAAACTCAACTCAGTTTGACCAGACTTTATCATTAAAAAAAATCCAACTTAACCTTGAATTTTTTAAAATTAAAAATCGATCTGACCATGTAAGGTTTTTAGCCCACCCCAGTATGACGAAAATCAAACCTCCTCCACTTGCCCTCGACTCGAGGTTTAGGATGATCTTATCCAATTCAACACTCAGGGGTTGTTTGTTTACTTTTTAATGGAACCATTCAGCGCTGAATGCTGAATCGTTCAGCATTCAGTGCGTTTGTTTCGCACCTCTGAATGATTCAATGTTGACTGATTCAGCACAGAAGTACATTCTGAATGATTCAGAACCAGTAAACAAACAACATGTCACATTCAGAGTTAATTCATTCAGAGCCTCTGAATCATTCAGCACTTAATCATTCTAAAGTAAACAAACAGTCCCTCAATCTAATTTTTTAGGTTGAATCTCACACCCAACTCGATCCGGTCATAATAATATTTTTTTTGTTTTATTTTATCAATTAGATTCTTACTATATCAAATAAAAATGAATTTATATATATATAGAGAGAGAGAGAGGGGTTGAGTTTGGTGTGAGTTTATACCTAAAAATTTGATCGGTTTCAAGTTGAGTGAAACGCTTAAATCACTAATCAGATGCGAATAGAGAGAATTATTTTTTAGATCAGATTCGAATGGATTAAAAATTCGATTCAAATAATGGTCATCCATAAGTTTAATATTAGACTCAAACGTGATTGAAAAATAATTATGATAAATTACCCTGAAGAAATAATATAATTTAATAAAATGATGCGATAAGTGACGCAAACAAAGCACCTGACTGTTAAGTTTTATAAATAATAATTTAATTTGTCGATTATTTTTCTACTCAAATTTCGTTACGTCCATAATAAGAGATAGTATGATTGATTTTTAAATTACACATTATGAAATTTTAACTTTCAACATTTACATATTAAAATGGACCAAAAAGATAAGATCGATAAAATCTGGTGACCAAAAGAGAAAAACACTAATAATTGGATGAGAATAATAATGTGGTTTGCCCAAAAGAATCTGAAACGTATATAGGATAAAACAACTTGTATTCCCCTAGCTTGAAATATTTTCTAATTTAGTCCTCAAACACTTTTTTGTCACCATTAACCCTAAACTCGACAACTTGGGAAAGTTACAAAGTTCTTCAGGGACTATGAATTTATTTAACCCCAGATAAAAAATATAAATCAAAATGAAAATTCGGAAAACGAAAATTTGAAAGAAAAAATATGAAGAAAGCAGGAGCAGCAGAGAAGAGGAAAGCTCGAAGATCTTCGGCATCCGTACAAAACGTCGGAAGAGATCCCAGCTCCGACATTCTTAGGGTTCGTCTCCTTTCTTCTCTGATTTATGGTTTTCCTTAATCATTAAATTGACATTTTTGTAGACTTGTTCTTTCATTTTTTTTTTGTTTGATCTTGATCCGAATTCTTTTGTCATGAATTTAGCGTAGATACTACAAACTTTTTTTCTGTACCAAATGCACAATAAAGATTCTAATTGTATTTGTTTTGCTAAAAGTAAAAAAGAAAAAAAGAAAAAGGAAGATTGATGTTGATTTGTATTAGTTGTTGGGAGCTTGATTATTGGAATTTTCTAAGGGATCTTTTGTTTTTGCTTGGTTGATTTCATTTGGAATGTTCTGTTTATCGTAAGCACAAACATATCCGATGCCTTGATCATATTTGGAGAGGTTATGTTGTCCTAGAATATTCCATTTCGAGGAATCTGATGTTCCCTTTTTGAGTGAAGGGCTTGAGTGACAGTATGTAATTTTTTTTCTTCTGAAAAGGCTTGATGTAGAGGGCGTTATAGAATTGCGAAACTTATGGTTGGCTTAGTTTCGAAGTAGTTGGTCCGGCAATTTCAGAAAATGTTGCTTCCGTGGTGAGAAATGGTTGCTTTTTAACTTATGAATGCTTCGAAAATCGAAAATAATATATTGTGCTTGACTGTATAGGATGCTATTCTGATTTGTGCTCGTATTTTGCCTAGCCAACTGTACTATATTACTTGGACTCGTTGCGAGTGTAAGATATGAGTATGCCCAATCCTTTTCTACGCTTTCCATGTATTGGAGGGTCAAATCCTGGTATATATGTCTGGATGTTTGTAGGACACAAGTCTCAAGCATGGGTACTTCACGAAAAAATGAAGTGTCAGTGTAACATAGCAACTGGAGGTATTGCCTTTTAGGCTTGAATTTGATCCTTGTGTCCTGCATTTTGGGGTTACATGTGTTCCAATGTTGCTTGTCTTGACCAGTTTTTATCTTTGATCATAATTCATGAATTTCGTATCTGTTTTTCTTAATCTAATTTATGTATCATTTCCTTTCTACCCAGAAACAAGCTGCCCATGATGTATATCAGTTGTTCGCAGAGAAAGTGAGGGACCATAAAGATTTGGAGTCTAGATGGGCTGTCTTGCAGGAAACCCGTGTCGAATATTTTAGAGGGAAGGACTTTGTCAGCTTTATGAGAAACCATCCAGACCTTAAAGAAATACTAGAGTCAGATAGAGATCTTGAAACTGAAGATATTGCCAATATTTTGTTACAAAAAAATCTTTTGGTGCGCAGTGACCGTGTGGTGAAAACTGTTCGTCCAGGGAAGAAAAAGTTGTCTAGCTGGCCTGCACATTTAGAAATCTTTCCTGTGAGTCCTTTATATTGTGTTACATTGAAGTATTTGATAAATCATTTCATTCTTTCACTCTTAGGTGATATAGTTGCTTGAATTTCTTATACAAAAACATCTATATGTGTACATTTAATGTGTGTATGTGATTATCTTGTTGATACATGAAAAAAGTTATCTTTCCACAATTACAAAATACAGGCTTAGATCCGTGTAAACTTTTTTCAGGAGAAAAGTGAGTATTTTATTCTTACTGTTTGCAAATACTTTAGGCCTAGACTTGTATATTGTCTACTATGATATCGACTGCTCGAACTTTTATTTATTTATTATGAGCTCTTTATTTGTTTCTAAAAGTGAAGTCTCCGCGGCTTGTTCCATCTTATTGAGTCATCCCTCAAGCCTGAAGTCTCCTGTTTATCTAGGCTTATGATCTCTTATTATTCTGATTAAGATAATAACTTTGTTTGATGTGGTTTTTTATTCTTTTCTGTGACATAGTGTTATATCTATTACCATCCACTGTCGTTTTCTTTCCTTCAAAGATCGTTTTAGACAGTCCCTTGTCCACCTCACACCCCCAGTTTCAGTTGCTTCGATGCTCTGGTTTTGTTTTCAGATGAAAGGAAGTCTCTAATTATTGCATTTTCGAATGCTAACAATGGCATTTCAACGGCCTTTCACTTGCTCATGCAATTAGCTATTGCTATTCGCTGTATGCTTCCTTTGTTGACGTATCCTCAATGTGGTTATTTTGCAGAATCAAATGTCTTCCTGAAATTAATGCTTTTTCTTCCTTTTTTTTCTTCTCCTTCTTCAAGATTTATCCATATTCTGTCTCTTTTTGTAGGAACAAGTATTCTCTGAAAATGATGCCTTCTTTGCATGGACATTTGTAAAACGGCGACCATTATGGCAAACACTTCTCTCATTTGTCTGGCCTGTGTTGACCCTTGCAATTTGCTTGTTTCCTGTATATCCACATCGGTGCAAATTACTAATACTCTACTCATGTGCGGGATTACTTGTACTTATTCTCTCCTTGCTTTTACGTAAGTTTTTCTGTATTAATTCCTTTTCTGTGTGCTATTTAATATTAATATCCATTGGGTCCTTTTGCATGTAATTTGGTTATTTCTTTTACTATATTAGGAACATATTAATGCCATTAAAAACTAAACTTTCTTTGCTTTACCTTGTTAAAGTAGAAACATAGTTGCTGGCTGCTGGCTGAAATCAGTTTTTAGTTTGATTTTGGGGTTGGTGACTAACATTCTAAATGATGTTGGTACAATCCCACACTTATCAAGCAAGATTTTCCTGTCCGTTCGGGGTTTTATTTGCTAAGTAAATATTACATTACTTTTAATTCTAAACCATTTTTTAGGCTCTAAACCCTGTTGTCATGTACGATATTCCAAGATTGTGTTGTTAACTTGTTATATCACTACAGTTTTATTTCATGTTCGTATAATTCTTTGCTCAGGTTTAAATTTCTGTTAATGCCGAGACAAGGAAAAACTTGTGGCCTAATAATGCCGCTTGATTTAAGCAGTTACATTTATCCCCTCTCACTTGGAATACTGCAATGTTCATGTTGGGCTATGCCAGTGGCGAATCCAGAAATATTTTTGAGGTTGAGCGTATATATATATATATATTAATAACGAAAATTCTTCGTATGTGGTGGGCACAAATAAAATTTTAGGGTAGACACTATCACTAAAATAGACAATTAATATAAAGAAATTCGGATTTCAAGGTGGGCACCGGCCCACCCTGGCCTCCACCTACATCCGCCAGTGGCTGTGCCCTTTCCATTTAGTTTGTGGATTTGTTATGTCCGTCTTGCTGATAAGCATCTGTCTTAGACTCGCTCTGATAAATTGTTCGATGACTTGATCCGTGACCAGAGACCTTAGCACTCTTTAAACCTTTATGTAGTCACTTATTGTTGTTGAATTTGATTAGTGTTATTAACTGCTTGACTGTGGTCCCAGTTTGCAAAAGGTTATATTTACATCACCGATTTTAGTCATAGTCATGTTTGCTTTTTCCTCGCTATTTTCATTCAAATTTTAAAATTTGCAGTGAGAGCTACAATATTTGGTGCTGCATGGATCGTATTAGGAAAGCGTGTTTGGTTCTTCCCTAACATCCTTGCCGAGGAAGCAACATTGCGAGAATTATTTTGTTTTTGGCCCAAAAAAGATGAAGAGGAGCGACCAAAATGGACAGCAAGACTGTTTTATGCAATTTTGGCCGTGTTGGTCATACTTCTGCTGAGGCATCATGCTCCTGATGAGGCTGCCAGAGCAAGGTCAGTTCCAAATTTGCTCTCGGTCTTAAGAGTTTTGTATTCTTTTTCCATTATCCCGGAGAGTAGTTCGATCGTATTATTGCTTCAAAAGGCCGATATGGTTTTTGTCAAAACTGTTGAATATATTTGCTCGATGATATTCTCAAACAGAAATCGGGATATCACCTATAAGTATCTTTTTTGTACACTCTCGATGATATTCTCCGTCTTTTATATCACTCTTGCAGGTATCAGAAGCGGATGTCGAACATAATCGACGACGTCCTTGAATGGTCTCCGAGCCTGGCTCTCTCCGGGATGATGGACAAACAAACTGTAGTTAATGCCACAGAGGATAACAAATATTCAAATGAAAGTGAGGTAACCTCTGAAACGATAACCTCTGCAGATGAATCCGAAAGTTTCGAAGGAACCGATGAACATCAGAACGATACTGTATGAGTGTACTGTCAGCTGAAAGGAAAATAAAGGCTGTTGATTATTATATTTGTGTTTTCTGAAAGATGGGGGTAAAACCGTAAAAGCGCTAACTCTAGGTGTAGTTAAGACATGTGAGAGGTGTTTATAAACCATACGTTCATTACAATATTTGATGATGCCTATTTTTTTTTTGCCTTTGTAACTTTTTGTTTAAGTGATTCCATACATTCGTTTCTATATTCAGCTATGCGTTTTGCCTACAAATTATTTGAGTGAAGTGTTTAGATAAATAAAAAATGTTACTTTTGTAATTATTTAAATACGGGTTATCCCTAAATCTGAATCTAATCCGATAAGAGAAAAATCAACTCAATTTGAAACTTGAAAAATGATCCTATTGAGTTGGATCGAGTCAAAATTGACCGAGAGCAAATATTTGTACCATTCCTATTTTAACAACCTTCTGTACATTGTACTTGTTGATTTTAGCTGTAATCGTGCTAATATAACTTTGTAGTTGTAGCCTTAAAAAACAAGGGGACTAAATTATTCCAGATTTAAATATAAAGAGCAAATATCAAATTGATGTATAGTAAAAGGACTATGAAAAAATTTAACCACTTTGAAAACCAAAACCCAGAGCCCGACCAGATTCAACAGGATAAACCGCTGTCAACCGCCAAAACCTCCCACCCCTATATCCTTCCTCAATACTGAAACAGCTTGAAAGGAAGAAGAGAAAATTTTTAAAAAAATGTCGTGTTTTTGTAGTGCCCAAATCCTCTCCTTAGCTAAAACTCTAATTCTTCTTCCTCCTATTTCCAGATTCTCCTCCCGTCCTCTTCACCCCATTCGTTCTAATAGTTTATCTCCTCCGTTGCTACTTTCCTCTGCCCCTTCCCCCCATCTATGCCGCTGCACCTCCGCCCCTTCCCCCTCTCCTCAACCCGACCAATTCCTAGATTTTCTCGACGAGGAAGAAGAAACAGCGATGGATACGGCGGCGGCGGAGGGGCTAGGGGGAGGAGGAGGAGGAGGAAGAAGATGAATTTTATGAGGGCGATGATTTGGACGTGGAAGCTCTTGAATCCAAAGCCAAGGAAGCCGTTCGTCGATATTCCACTTCCTTGTCTCGCCAGTTAACCATTGGTAAATTTCCGATCATTTTACTCCTTTTTTCTTTCTCATTTACCTTTATTTATTAATATTATTTTAGAATTTTCTTAATGTTGCTAAAAGTAAGGTTTTATATTTGGTTAAGAACAAGTCGATAGTTAAATTATACAGCTGTTCCCAAATATTTGTGTTCGATTTTCTGTTAATTTTAATTCTTCCCGAAGCTATATTATCTATTTTTTTCCCGCAGTGGAAGAGATGGATGATCTTAAGGGGTTTAGTGGAAAGCAGAAGAGACTTAAAACTGCAACTAAAACTGTAAGTAAAGCTTACTATCTTAAATCTTTGTAGTCTCCTAATTATGCTCATAATTGTGCTAAATAGTTTTCCTCAAGAAGTTAACTTTAAACCTCTTAGCTATTGCAGCTGATTTGTTGAAAATGAAACCAATTTTGTAGTTGTAGCTTGCAAAAGTGAATTACTTCAATCATTTTGCTTCATTTCCCTTTTTCTTTCTATTTTGTCACTTTGGGTTGCTTGTTCCTTTCTAATTGATGAACCGTTTTAAAGTTAGTTTTTGGAAATTCAGTTGTTAAGAGAAAAAAATCAGCAGACTGGCAACATGTTCTAGGTCGGGACTCTACTTGATGATGCTATACATAATGTCAAGGCCTGAATACTGGTGCAAGAAATTTATTGTTTTGTTTCTGTTTTAATATTACTGGAAATCAAATTGTTGTATTAGTCATGTGTCTTTAATTGTTTTTGCTAGACAGGATGTTTCATGGCTGTTTTTAGCTGCTCTGTATTATTTATGTGCATTATTCCAGCTTCATATTCTTGAAAGATACATGATGCTGTAGCTTAAAATATTAGAAAATGGGATCAATAACTGGCGGAAGCACATTGAAAAGTTGAGTCTGTGGACATATGAGCTTTTGCGTCATGATTTAGTTCAATTATTATCTTTTATGATGTAATCTGGGGATTCTTCTTATAATGATATACTAAAGTTTTATCATCACTACTGAAAATTTAAAATCCTTTTGCAGATTCCTGACATCTTCTTCCAAAAGTTACAATAGTTGGAAGGCCAAATGTTGGTAAATCAGCATTATTTAATCGCCTTGTGGGGGTATAGTCCACTAATATTGTCTTTAATTCGCCATGTAACTAGGTGTATCAGATTGCCAATGATGTCAAACTCTTTCATGGATTTTGTTACAGGGAAACAGGGCCATTGTGGTGGATGAACCTGGGGTTACCCGGGACCGATTGTATGGTAGATTGTTCTGGGGAGATCACGAATTTGTAGTGGTTGGTACCGGAGGGGTTCTAAATGTGTCAAAGTCACAGGCTAACTTAATGGAAGACTTGGCTATTTCAACAACTATTGGTAATTTGGTATGGATGGGATTTCGTTACGCTCCAGGGAGGCAGCTGTTGCAAGGATACCATCTATGATTGAACGGCAAGCTACTGCTGCTGTTGAAGAAGCATCTGTCATTATATTCCTTGTGGATGGGCAGGTATACTTCGGTCTTCTTTCGTTGGCCGTCATTGTTTTCTTTTGAAACTTTGATACATTTATACGAAGTTGAGAAAAGATCTAGCACATATGAATCACCTTGTTCATATGATGTTTGATTGATTTAGGATTTATCCAAAAAAAAGAAAAATAGGATCACTTTAAGTTAAATAGAAACAGGAATGATAATATTTTATTCTTAAGTCTACTTAGTCTACTTAAAGTTGCAATCTATTGAAGTAATAAATGCACTAACCATTGAATTAACATTATAGGTTGATTTTCAAAAAAAGGAAATTACTGGTTGTTGGAGTAATTGAGTGGCTAAATAGTTAATTAGCAAATGTTTTAAAATTAGACTAGACAATCAATGAACAATTGAGTTGAATTAGGTTGTTGCCTTGAGTGCCTTTGACAACACTTTTTTTTATTTATATTATATATGTATATAAGTATATTTGCAAAACATAAAAAAAAAAATTAAAGATGGTTGCTCAACCTCTTCTACCTAGGCGAGGAAGGTGCTAAGCATTGACCTGAGTGCCTTTGACAACACTGACATTAAGTTAAAATTAAAATTTAAAGAAATTATGAACATATGGTCTTGGGAGTTGGTTGCCTGTATGTTAGTATTAGATGCTCTTAGAAGGGGAAAACTTAGGAATCAAAATCTAGGATATTTATGCATCAGCATGGCATGAGATGTTGAGATGTAAGGTAAGTTTAGGCATTAGGAATGCAATTGGAAAATTTGAGTTCTCTCAGCCAGTTCTTGGTGTTTTATGAATCCGGTTTAAAGCTGTGAAAGCTGAGATTTTAGTTGATGGGATCAGGTGAGAATTATGCATGGGGTAATCTGCATAACTTGTTGAAGGGTTGATCTCCCTTTCTAGTACTTTATCTTGATGGAAATCTAATTTGGCTTCATGAAACGAACTGTATATTCTTCTATATCTTTTGGAGAGTTATCAACTTGCCAAATTGTTGTCTGTATGATATTGAACAGGCTGGTCTAACAGCAGCTGATGTGGAGATTGCAGGCTGGCTTCGAAAGAGCTACTCGAATAAATATGTTGTGCTTGCAGTGAATAAGTGTGAATCTGCACGGAAAGGAGTCATGCAAGCATCAGAGTTTTGGTCATTGGGGTAATTCTCAAGTTCTGTTTCTCTGAGAATTTTTGTTTTTTAGTACTCAATGCGCTATGCCTTGAGTTATTGACAAAGTAGCTTATGGTTTGGATGGCATTAGAACTTAGCTCGGATGTTAATGGATTAGCTTTCTCTATGTTTTTTTTATTTCTCTCTTGATACCTCTTTCCACTTCCCATTTCTCTTTTTCTTTTCTACTTTACCACCTTGGGAAAAAAAGTCTGCTATCGTTTGTGCTTTTTATGTCGAGGGTGTTTGTTATTTCCGGTTATCTATTTTTTTCTTGAGTAGACCTAGGAAAGTTCTTTTATTACCCTTCTGTCTGACTTTGGATTAATTTGTTCAACTGCAAAACCTGGTTCTCTCCAATTCCTATTTCTGCTTTATCTGGGACTGGAACGGGGGAATTTCTTGATCTTGTTTGTTCAGGGCTTAAAAGTATTGAGGTAATTTGTCTTTATGGTTTTTCTTTGTTAAAAAAATTATATAACTTCTTGTCTTCAACTTTTCCTTTTCCTTTGTGAATCTGTTCTTATTACTTTTCTAAATGATCTTATTTGCTTTCTCTGCTAAGCACGTGACTTCTTGATTGCATTGTAGGATGTAGAAATTATGGATGAGGAAGAAAATTATGTCCCCTCTATTGTGATTGTTGGTCAACCAAATGTTGGTAAAAGCAGCATTCTAAATGCTTTGGTTGGTGAGGATAAAACAATTGTGAGCCCTATCAGTGGAACCACTCGTGATGCAATTGATACAGAATTTATTGGACCTGATGGCCAGGTTTGTTCAGTTCAGAAATACCTATATTATACCTGATAGCCTATGTGTCTTGATTCCGATTCCTTGAGTGGGAGATTAAACTTTTTGTGCTTGAACGAACCAGTGATAAAGAAAGAGCCAAAAATAGAACATAACGTTCTGAGCTCTGTTTGCTTTGCATTCCAGTTGCTTTTGGAAGCTTAATACCTGGGTTATCATTTTGCAGAAGTTCCGGCTTATTGATACTGCTGGAACCAGAAGAAGGGCATCTGTAGCTTCATCAGGTAGTACCACTGAGGCTTTATCAGTGAACAGAGCATTCTGTGCCATCCGTCGGTCTGATGTCGTTGCTCTCGTCATTGAGGCCATGGCTTGCATCACGGAACAGGTACTTTGTCAATGATTTCTTGACAAACCATGTTACTAATATTATGGATTTAATCAGAAGTTCTCAATTTTCAGAAAACAGTCCAAGGAGGATCATGTAATACTCTATTTTTTTACTTTGTATCATTATGAGTGTGCATTCTCGTTTTTGGTTAGAACGGGGTAAGAGATCCCTGGTAACTCATTTCATATCTTGATTATAAATCGTAGCTAGCCTCCACTAATTTGAAGATTATGGTGGATTCATACTGAAGGTTTACATACCGGAAAAAAATGAAAAGAAAGAATACAGCATATAGGGCTTGGATTCAAAGACTTTGTTTTGGTCCCTACAATTATCAGCAGCTACAGGAAATCATATCAAGTCGTTTGAAAGGACTTGATGTGTTTGAAAAGCCAGCGGTAGAATTTGCTTCAAGAAAGGTTAGTCCTCATACTGGTTGCTTCATTTAAAAGTTCTCTTACCTTTTTATACTATTGTACTAGTGCAAACTTGATGTTAAAGTTTATATATGCATGTTTCAGGTAGCTTCTATTTCAGGGGATGCACACCGTGCTTTAGAGATATGCAGACGAGCAGCAGAAATAGCATATTATCATGTGAAGACTCAAATGTCAACTGTGAATTCTTCTAAAGGTAATAAGCTTTCTAGAAGGACTAGAACTGTAACGTAAAGCCATTGCTGTGATGTTGGATACTTATTAACCATGCCTATGGACATGAGTATTCATCATATGAAAAATCATACAATAGCATATGAAAATATTGATAGAATCATACAATAGCATCTGAAAATATTGATTTTTCAATGATTTTTTCTACTTTTTGTTAGCATACTCTGCTGCTTTTTCAACTGCGCAACTTTTCTTCTAGATCCCTTAGCTTTCTCACAGTGGTTCTGATCAATAATATGAATATATGTATTATCATTCTCCAGGGAAAGAAATTGTTACTATGGCTGATGTTGATGCGGCCATTCAGGAAATGTTCCAGGTACCTCACATCCAAGTAAGTTGGAGTTACTTGTACAGCTGCTTAATAAAATTTTAGTTATCTTTTTTTGTTTCTTGTCCACTTGCAAGGCAGTTGATTGGCTATGTTTCTGTAATGATGTATGGTGAGGTTATATTTGAACATTAAGAAATAACTTCTTTTTTGCAGGTAATGAAAAATTGTTCCAAACTGAGCAAAATCTTCTTAACTGCAATGGTGTATGAACTCTATAAGACAGGGATGGGGGAAACAACATTTGAAAAGGTATTTTTTTTAATGTATTGGTGTTCTCTTTTGATGCTCTGTCACTGTTCTTAGTCATTAACGGTTACAAGATTTTTTTTCCATGTTGCAGCTGGCAATGACTGTTTCATGTCTCTGCACAAGCAATGAAGAGGCATTTCCTGGTTGGGACACACTTCTGAAAGTTGGGTAAGCATCTTTTATTGACTTGTCATGGTATTTTACAGTTTTGTCTAGAAAGGTTGATGTTACCATCGAAGTTCATAGTTAGCTGCACTTGATATGGACCCCGATCAGTGCCTGTTTTAATCCCCAATCCCCAATAGTTAAGGAAATACCAAGATGAAATTATTCCGTTTGCTTTCATTACCTACCAACTGGAGTTTATATTAACCTTGGGTAGTAGATGGCTTAGTGGGTGCTGAAAAAGCTTACATTTGGTTCATTTTTTGTGGCAGCTGCCAGCTCGGAGAATGCAGAATTATTCTGTGTGAACCAGGAGATAGACACAGGTTGCAGAAGCTGCAGCTCAATTTCCCCAGGTTAGTTCTCTGGCAAACTCAGTGAAAAGCAACTAGGGTATTTGATCTTGATGAAAAATATTATGAAATTCTCTACAATTTGAAGAACCTGCAAATCACAGCATTACCGTTCCCGTCTTGACGATGCTTCAACTTTTTGTTGGTTGGTTTATGGGAAAGTTGACTGATATTGCATAACCAAATAGGAAGGCTGTCATCTAAACCCAATTCATTTTTGTTGTGTGACAGTGATGATGTTGCTTTTGCACTGAAAGATAGCAAGGATCTGCCATGGTTGGCCGAGTATTTATGATCAATTGAAGCCTTATTACATTCATTTCTTAATTTATCTGTATTTCAATCTCAGCCATGTTGTAATTTCAATCTTTCGAAGAGTAGGTTGTTCCACTATGAACATTATGCTCTTAATGTGGGAGTTCTTTTTGAAACATTAATGCCTATATGATCTAAAACTATTTTAATTTCATTATATTATTTGGTCAGCTATTTCGCGGTTTATAATAATTATTATCATTTACTTGCAAGTAGCAATGTTCTCTATAAATAGGATTGAGTATCAGTTCGTCATTTGAAATTTTGAGTCGGATCTATAATATTATAATATTAATCAAGTCAAACTGATTCAACCCTAGTTGTATATGATATATATATTTATGTTTTTGCCACAAATTTATAATTTTATTTAATAAATCAAATATCTTTTGAAATTATATAATATATTTATAATATTATTTTTAAAAAAATCAAATTATTTAGTTATAAACAAGAAAATAACTTATAGCCAGCCAGCTTAACTTTCAATTCAGCCTCGAACGTCTCTTTTCCCAATATCCATTAGCTTATCCATTAAACAAGAAAATAACATATAGCCAGCCAGCTTAACTTTCAATTCAGTCTCACCCCTCTTTTTTCCCAGTATCCATGTATAGATTAGCTTATGAATTGACTCAAAACAAAGCTACAATTAATTCTGAGTTAGTATTTTGTCCTAAGAGCGCTACAACATTGTCAAATGTATGCAGAAATCATCAGGCTTTAGAAATCCTTGTGGGTAGAATTCGACAACTAAGTCCGAGAATGATGATTTCGGACATAACAGCGTAAAATTATGGTGATCGCCACAAATAAGAGAAGGGAAAGTTGGGGATCAAGCTTGCGGTGTAATGGAGGAGGTTCTTTGCCATAAGGGTCGGCCTAATATGGCACTTCCATGAACAGAGAGGTAGGTGGCATTTAACCTAGCAATAACAATCAGACTTGAATTAGTAATCCAGGAAATAATTAACCCCTTGTTTTATTACAGAACAGGGGGAAAGAAACTTTACTTATCAACATCAGGTGTCGCTAACGGATCATATGGTTCCTCCCTTTGTTCTACAGGTGGGACAGTGCCTGCCATAGCTGCCATGTCTTGAGAACCTTCAACCTGGAAATCAATTCTAGGAGAACTGAGGCTTCATTCAAACTACAGTAACATTTCTAACTGCATTCTTTATTAGCCATGCTAAAGAAAATTACTCGTCTGATCATTAACTGCAATTAACATTAATACTCCAGTCTTGTCGGCAGGTACATAGTGATATGCGGGATTTTCAGAAATCAGTAATGTAAATGGGGAAAGGTTCTCTTGATTTTTAATAAAGAACCTTAAATGATACTGTATTACCAAAAAAAAAAAAGCAGTATGCTTGTTCCTATTGCTATTACCTACATGGTCAAATAACAAATATTACTAGTAACCTACAGAGCAAAATTATTTCTAAATATCTGTACAAACGAGACAACAATAACGATAGTAATTTTAGATGCAATACTAATGCAAATATGTCTAGAATCTCTAACCTGTTGAGGATATTGTGCATAGCCAGCATATGCATAGAGGGAGGAATCCTGGGTAGCCCCATAGGAATAAGCATCGTAGCCTTGTCCGTAACCATAATAAGCGCTCCATTGATTAGGATCGGTTTGTGTGCCCCAGCTACCTGGTAGGTCCTAAAATAAGTAATGCCAAAAACCGTTAAGCAAAATAAATTAACTAACTACAAAAGAAGGTTCACCACAATCCACAAACACTACAGTTATCTAAATCTACATCCACAGGGAAAATGACAGTTCTCACAAATATTATGTGTGAGAGAGAGAGAGAAAACAACTGAGCTTTTACTATATGAATTCATCAACTATCTATTTCATCCTTTTCCTTTTACAAAAAAAATACAACAGCTTTTCGTTCCCTTTTTATTTCAAAACAAAATTGATGCTATGGAGCCTGAAAATGCTAAAATCATTTAGAAATATAATTCCATCGGAGTGTGACTTAGATATATGAGAAATATCACCTGATTTGCTGTAGGGATCCTACCCCAAGAAATTTGGACAACTTGTTGACCAATCACTTGGCCCTGCATCCTCCGTATAGCTTCTTCAGCAGAATTTCTGCAGAAAAGATAGAATGTTAAAAGTCTTTTGGCATTAGATCAGATAAACCAAAGTCAATTAAAACAATTGACTCACATAAAAACAACGAAAAGAGGAAAGCAGTGGCAAATGACTAGTTTATACTGCTAATTCATTTGTCTTCCTCCATTAATTTTTATGCAACTCTTGTATAAGGGGAACATAAGAACTCAAAAAGATGAAGGGTTCATGAACTAAAATCTAGCTCACAAACAATTGAATGAACATGGACATCCACCCTTAAAAACTACCATGCGGAGAACACTTCCAGAAGTTACTAGTATAATCACAGTTCACTTTATCTTTACCTGTTTGCAAACTGTACATAACCGCATCCCTTGGTGGCAGGGATCTTGACAAACACAATTTCTCCTAATGGCAAGAAGAATTGCTTCAACTCCTCTTCTGTGACATTTGGATCCAAGTTGCCAACAAAAATCTACAAAAGAAAGTATAGTTAGTCAATGAGAAAGTAATAATCTGAAACAACTTGTGTGTGCCTCACTTACAGTAGTATTTGTATTGTCATTATCTGGAGGAAGCACCGGCACAGTTGTTGGGTAAACCATAGCTGGATATACAGCTGCAAAAAAACCATGGGTAAGTGCAGTGTAGAATTCGTTACCTTCAGATATGCTTGTGCCTATTTGATATGTATCTAATTTGTTAACTAGATATAGTACCACAGAGCAATTACTTGCAGATATAGGCACGGTTACTGGAGTTCCTAGCCCACCCACCTCAACTATATTAGTCAAACGTGGGAGTGTGTTGGATATGTGTCAACACGGGTACGTTCAATTTATTCAAAGTTTCATGCATCTGCAGGGCCATATCTCTATGGTGCCCATCTGACACAGGTACTTCAAGAAAAACAAAGTCATAGCAATATAGCAAACAGGTATGCATGTTGACATACATCATGTTCACATCTCGACTAAGCTAACAAACAACGATAATATGAATAAATAAACTTAAAACGCCATGGAACCAGCAACCAAGTTGCACAATAATTCTAAACAAGATGTTTATTTTATTGATAAAAACATTTGAGGAATAGAAATATGGTCAGACAATATTACAACGCAACAAATCAGGGGTGTGATTACAAGGTGTTCGAAATAATATTAATTTCTTTCTTTTATTTCTTCATTAAACCACCTTAGAAAAAGGACTACATCTTATATTTTAATATGAATGCTTATAAGTCAATTCTAAATTTATCAAGTTACGTCTCTTTTCAGCAGTGCACCTTTGTATTCAAAATGGTAACGATGGATAGTAAAGGGCAGCCACATGAGGGCAACGGATAAAACACAACTAAGTAAGCACAACATGATTTTGTAGGACATAAAATGAAAAATTGATCTGGCCAGGGTTTTCTTTAGGCCAAAGTTAAGGAACGGAATAAGACCTTTTGCTACAGCATATGGCTGCTGGAAACCAGTGTTCTTCTTTGGTGTTGCAGCACTAATGCGCATGACTCTAGTTGAGCAATAGACACCATTCATTTCGGTCATAGAACGATTTCTCTCATTCTCATCCGAAAATTTAACAAATCCATATCCCTTGGAGCGTCCGGTATTTGGGTCAGTGACAACTTTGGCACCTCTAACAGATGGATAGTGAGCTCGAAAGGTCTCTTGCAATAGATAATCCGTAACATCAGGTGCCAAATCCCCTACAAAAATAGAATGCTCAGGGCCAGGATCATTAAGTCTTTCTCCAGCGCCAAATGAAGCCCAATTCAACCTGAACATTTGTTCAGTTCCAGGCATCGGCATCCCATTGTAAGTCTGCAGAATCCTTTCCGCTGCGGCATGAGAAACAAACTCCACAAATCCATAACCCTCGGGAAGGCCAGTGATCTTGTTGCGTATGATTTTTATAGAGACTAGCTGCAAAGAGCAGAAATATTGGGTCAGGAAACATCAAATAACATCCTAGTTTTCTTTTTTTTTAAAATGAAGTACATTATGAAACTTTAGCATATGATAAAATCTCATACTATCTCAACACAAAATTTACCAAAGGAATGTTGATGTTCATAATCAGTGCTCAGAAAATCACCTGAGCATTCACATACTATTGCCCCCACTGGTTTTATAGTAATTTTACAGAATTCACCAAAGAGATCGATTTTTGATGCGATATTCTTTCAAATTATAAATTCTCCATTAAAACGACGTGAAATTCAATTCAAATAACATAACTTAATACTTCACCAACATGAACATCCATGCGTACCTTACATCATGTTAATTCAAAATTACAAAAAAAAAGGCAGCCCAGAGAAGTTCCCGCAACGAACTACAGTCATCAAATCAAATTAAGCAACGAAGAACAACCAAAATCCATTCAAATACCCAAAAGAACATAAATCCAGAAATACTTTGGAGGAATACATTAAAATTTTGTGCATATATTCAAAGAGAGAGAGAGCGGGGAACCTCGCCAGTATGAGCAAAGCAAGAGTTGAGATAAGACTCGTCGACCCAAAACTGAAGGTCCCCTATCCAAAGCGTACGGACTTCTTCCAGCGTTGCCGGATGGTGGTGGTGTGCTGCTGCCATGATCGCCGGTCTTTGAAGAAATTCTTTTTCTATAGATTCTGATTTATTTTATTTCGAATTCCACAAATCAACCATCAATTTTGTTTTAACAAGGAAAACAAATGCTTGGGCTGGCCTCACGATTGAGGCATTCACAGGTCGGGTTGGATTGCATCAGGGAAAAAAGGCTTAATACACAATTTGCCCCCAATTTTTTGCGAAAAATAATATTTAGTCCTTAAAAATTAAATATTTTTAATTTGGTCCCTTAAAAATTATAATTTTTAGCGTAAATTATGCATTTAGCACCTAAAGTATCATTTTTAGTCTGTTTTAGTATCTAAACTTTCAGTTTTTCAAAATCATTCATAAAGGTTAATTTTTGTTTCATTTAGTACATGTTCAAAATTTAACATTAAGTTTTGA